TATAAAAGGTAGAAAAAGATGCTTCCTCAACCATACATAGCACTGACCTCAAGTGTTTGAATAACTTGCAGAAAATCACCAGTGGACGAAAAATTTTTCAAGCAATTGCCCAGGAACTTCAAAATCAGAGATACATCCAGCACTGCCAACAGCCTGTGAGTATCTATATACCAATACTGACATTTATGCAGAAAAAGAGGAACTGGTACTTTTTAAGAGTGTATTATTTCCATATCCTCTGGAAATGGACTTTTTAAAGTTGATAAAGGTCTAAAAAAAAAAAAAAGTATTCTGCACTACAAAGACATCATAAAGCATTCTAAATGATCATACATATACATTTATATATATATGATAGCATATACTTTATAGAATGTATGTGTGTACATTTAAAAAATGAAGCTTCCATAAATCTGTATTTGCCAAGAAGAGGTCTCTACAAGTGCCTCTGGACTTTTGGTGAAAAGCATAGAGCTATTAAGAGCCCATTTTTGAAAAATGGTAGCTAGACAGGAACATTACAGAGCTGTTATAAAAACTCTACAACATTCTTCCAGATACTTCTCCTTCCTTCAACATCCACAGCCTAAACTAAATATTCAACATCAGTGGGTAAAGCCACACAACTTCTTTCAGCATTCCAAATTCATGCCAATATGTCTTATATAATGACCATAATTGTGCACATGCCATGTTAAGTTACGAAAAACAAACCCCAACTTTAGAAGTCACGTGTATTTGCAAACAAATGCCTTCAAAATCCTGCCTTGAAAATGTTGCTTCTCTTGAGAAATTGTATACATTCTTTCCTATTCTGACCAAAGGCTCCACTACTTCAAGAAGAAGCCCAAAGAAACATATAACAAATGCATGCTTCTCTATGCGTTTTTACTTCATTATTTCCACCTGGCCCCAATTGTTTCCCTCTGTGATTACCCCTTTAAAGACTTCAAGTCCCTGCTGACATGACCTTGCCCTCGGTTTGAGCATCAGATATAAACATAGTGAAAATAAGGGATATATTTTACTGCCTCTGTGCTCTCTGGAGATTAGGAAAAGCCAAGAGGAAGAGAAACATGCTTTGAATCCCACAGATGCCAAATGACCAAAACCAATTGGATAGAGGGGAGAAAGGAGTTTACTGAAACAATAAAGGAATGGAGTTTCCCTGAAAAAGGAAATTTTGCATTATTTAAAAAGTAAAAAGTTCACAGCAATAATAAAATACTTCTCCATTTTTCCCTTAGGAAGATTTGGAAGATGACACTGTTTATCAGAACAGATGAGCCTGTGCTGCTGTTCAGATTTCTTCAGTATTTCTCACACAGATGAAGAAGGGACAGATAAAGAAGTTAAGCTTCTTCACATACTTCCTTTGCTTTAAAAAGAGGAGACAGGAGACCTTGCAAGGCAGTGTTCTTGATGAGTATTTTCTAAACAGGTCACCAAACCCGAGTGCATTGTGCATTTATGTTATATTTTACTTCCATTTTCCATTCTTTAAGAATAAGAACTATGGGAAAAGACTTCATAAGATAACTGCTGACCTTCCTAAGTTTCCTTTTTCAGTTTAGATTTAATTCTGTGCATTTTTTTCTTTTTATGTAAGTTTACATGTATTCCTTTTATGTGAATTGAGCATTTATGAAAGATGTACAATTGATGGCAACAGAAAATAAACTTGTTTCACAGATGAAATTTTGATTTTAGCCATGTTAATGTGACAGTTATCGACATAACAGATATACAGAACTACAAAACAAGTTACTGAGTCTTAAGAAAAGCTTAAACAGAGCAAAACCTCTGTATTCTGTAGGTAGGCAAGCAGAAATAACAGACAATATAAATGCATGTAATATCATAGTACAGCTCAACTGGAATAGGAGCTTCTTCCCAGGCTATTTAGGAAAGGAAAGTAGCAGTCATAGTGAGAAGGTTGCTCCTGCAGTATTAAAAATCACTTGCTAGACAGACAATCCTCATCTTCCACTCCTACCAAGCAAAGTCAGGATTACCTGGAGCACAAAGTTTTGCCTTTACATGCCTGTTCAACATGGAGGCAAGCATGAACACAGAAGTAGACTAGCTATCCAAGGCAGTACACTAAGTGTATTTTTTTAAAAGTACCTATTCTTTTAGAAGTTACTATGTAGCCAATTCACAAATCAGCACTTTAACAAGCAATCTTTTAGTATCAGGCATTCTCCCTACATAAAAACAGCTGCATCTTTTATCACCATTTAAATAAAGCAAAGCTTTGTTTAACAGATGAAACGGTATTTCTCACTTCAGTGAGACGAGCACTAACAACTGAGACAAAACAAGGGTCCACCTAGCACAGTACTGTTTATAGCTCAATTTAGTAGCAAGGAAGATGGAAAATCCACCTTTGTCTTCTTATCCCTGTCAGCAATCACAAGGAATTAATGTGTTCAACAGGAAAACTGCACAATCACAGGTAGCTAGTGTTTACTCCTTCTGAAGTATGGAGCCTCTGAAATTTTTATTTTAGAGAAATTTAAACCAGTCTAGTCACATACTGTCTAATAATGCCTTTATAGAAATATGGTGTCTGTATTAGGAAATACAATGGATTTTTTATGACCCTATGGGACACCTATTAAAAATATAAAGTTATATTTAATAGATGTTCTTATGTGACTAGCCTAACACCTTACGATTCATCTGGCTTACTTACCAAATCTAGACATGTGCAAAATTGCATTATTTTTTGTTATGTTGAAAATAAAACTCTGTAAAACCCCAGAAAGAATTTATGATTAAGCTACTTCGTCTGGACTCTAGGTGTCACTGTAACTCCAGAAACGGTAAGCACAGAAATGTATTTCAATCTCCTCCTCCACCTTGCTTTGTTCTCTTAAACCAAGTTTTATGTTATTCACATAAACAGTTTCCACAATCACCCTCCCATTACGTTACATGCAATAACCCAAATATCTTGTTTTGATCAAAATTGTGTCTCCATTTTTAGGAGCTGTTCTATACACTGAGCAAACATCTTACTTGCCTCATCTCTTCTCTATTTGTTTCCCACCTAAAATTCAGAAGTTTCTCTAGGCGAGTCCAAACTGGTTTTAATTAGCTTCTACAAGAAGCTGAGCCATTAAATGTTCTCCTCTTTGAATGTTGCAAGTATATATTTTTGTCAAATATAAACCATATGTACATATCTAATACTTTTTAAAATGCATCATCTTTTAGAACAGCTAAATGAAAATAATGAAATTCTAAAATCAATTATTTATCATGAAGACGAGCAGTTCATTATTTCTTTAGGCTACAGTTAAACAGATAAGTAGGAAAGCTTCAGTGAAATGACAGTAACTTTTGTGTGTGTTAATTTGCATTGTCTAAAGTTTATATGGGGTCCATATCCGTAATAGTGTAAAACAATAACTGAGTATGTTAAGTTTCAGAACTTATTACGGAAACAAAGCTGCATTGAGGAAAGTGACTAATCTCCTGTAAGTCCCCACCACTTTATGACTTAGGTTTACAAGACTTCTTACAACAGATTTCAACTTTCAACAAGTAAGAATGACTGAGTTCAAGAATCACAGAGTAGATTTCTAGTCCCTTGGGATTTATAAATTTAATTATTGTTCTCCTCCAAGTACCTTGTGGGAGATTAATGATGAGCAATATAAGTGGACTTCAGAGTAGTTTCTTCCTTAATTCATCTACCACCTGTTGAACCAGAATTGCATGTGGTCTGTCACATGGTTACCCAACAACAGGCAGAAAAGTAGATGTCAAGTCCAATAGAGATTGCAAAACACAATGGCACATAGTTTTGAAGGTACACAAACAAAAAAGCCACTCAAATAGTTTCCCAATTTCTGCTTCCAGTATGCTAATGAAAACTAGAAAGACACTGCTGTTATTATTTGGAACTTTAAGGAATTTTTAGAAGAGGAAGCTGTATTGTTCCACATTATAGGAACAATAAGTTGTAATCAAATACACTTGAAATCCCGCACAGACACATAAGTCAACCTCCCCCATCTCATTTAAGACATGCTACTTTTCAGAACAGTTACAAAATTATTTGCTCAAACACTGCATTTTAAGCAATTCTTCACCTGAGGGAATTTTTTTACACTTAAAATTAATTTTTATTACATTTCATTACACTGATTGCCAGAATGTTCAGGCTGTCAGTTGTGTATTTGCTGGAGCTACATGCCTATCCACAGACAAGTCTTAATACTCAAGGACAGCCAGTATCCCAATGATGACTGATGAACACCAGCCTCCTCGAATTCAAACCAGCTTTAGGGTGCCTCAACATGAATCCACACTCATAGGCATGTAAAAAAAGAATTTCCACTCTCTTTTGAAGTTTAATCATAGGGACAGATTAACCCAAAAATCTCTCATGTATTTCTTCAAAATGCAACTAGGGGAAATAATGGGGGATTAGCACTGAATTTTAAATTTCAGTTACTGATACAAACATAAACAGTGCTTCGTACTTTGTATCAGTAGGGGTCTGTATTCTACTTTGAGAGCTCATGCTGGAAAGTGAACATTATCTCCCTGTGAATTTTTAGGTGCAGTTCATCTGAAACAGTTTGACCTGAACTGCTCTATCCAACATTACAGGCAGTTCTGATGGCTTTGCTCAGGTGGTCACTACAGACAACTGGGGTGACCCATATGGCAGCAGCAGAAGGCTCTAATCAGAGATCTGTTTTCCCATGTTGCTCCAACACACCTCAAAGGTGGCAAACCACAGAACAGGATATGTGACTTCAATATTTGAGCTTTTTGTTGGTGTCAACAACGTACGTTTGGGAATTAACAAAACAGCTTACATCATATGTCCTATTTACCTATGATTTACTTCTGAATGTGCCCTGTACAAGTTATTTGTAAAAAACAAATACAAACATGCCAATTAAGCATTTAATTTGGGATACGGTAACCTACAAATGTTTTCTTTACCTGCCTAAATAGCTATTAATCTGTGCACTTACCATTTTCCACATATGGGTGAAATGGCAGAACTAATGCTAGAATGACTCTGCCTCTAGTTGGCTCCAGTACACTTCTAATATCTTTTAATACAGTCAGTGGTTGATCACAGCGATCCAGCAAATTCAAACAGCTGATGACATCATACTGAAATCCTGTGTTTTGCCATTCATTTATACCAAGCACTCTACAAGGAGAAAGATACAGTCTGTTAAACACAAGTTGAGTTCAAAGAGAGCCACTGAACACAAAAATTCCCTATGAATGTGTTTACAGTGCAGGTAAGGTCAGCCACCTAGGCAATGTGAAGAGACAGATACGATGCTTCTGGTCTCTCAGAAAAGAAAACTAAATCAACAAAAGTGGGCATGGCTACATATATAGCCGTAAGAACCTGTGTATCGCCTTACAACCACCAGGCAATAAAGGAAACAAAACCCAAAACCCCAGGTATTAGAAGGAAGAAAAAAAAAAAGTACTGTCCTAGAATAAAACTGAAAATAACTTCTCAAGAAACAACAATGCTGAAATATGATGAATGGCTTGCTGCAGTCTATCCACTCTGCTTTGCCAGTGTGAAAACCCAGACTGGAAATTAGCCATTATGTTTCCTCTCAAAAAACAGGTTAAAGAAAAGAAATCCAGTTCCTTCATTCTTTGGGTTGAAGTCTAGGGATAAAGTGTCTGAAATACTAGCCATTACTCAACAAGACTGGATCTGCTGTCTGCAAAAACCTGCAGGAGCTGTGATGAATGCATGAACAAAGTTCTGGAAGTGCCCACGGTTTAGTTACTAAATGTTATTCCATCTAACAGCAGGAGCTAAGCAGAGCAAGAATAAAAGGATCTTTACATAGATGTCTACATTTTAGGACTAGATAGACAGAGATTACTGAGGTATCCCTATTATCAAAATTAGTTTGCTTTCTCTGCAGTACCTGTCTTCCTTTTCCAATTCTGGACTGTTCACTTAGGCTGGTTTGCCTGATTTTCATCTTCCTGACTCCCTTGATTAAAGCAATTTATGCAAGCTATGAAGAAAGAGACTTCAAAACGGTTGCTGCCTATTTTCTCTTAGAATCATAGTCTTAAGTAATTGCAGGGAACTTCTGTGTAACAAAAGCCCTGATAAGAAGGAACATCAGATGTGTTTGTTTTCCTGCTTTTGTACAGGTTAAACTTTTCCATAAGGACTAAGCAACACAGGAATTGTCTGAAAATAGTGTGAATATTCATTAAATACTACAAATAGATTACTCTGATGTAATGTCCAATAAAAAGGATGTAGGAAGTATTCAGTACAATACCTGTATTTCTTCTTCTGAAGCTGCCATATCATTGTTTCAGACAATTCAGTGGCATAGATTTCTTCAAAATGAGGACTCATGACTTTAGTGACTTCTCCATCCCCAGCCCCTAAATCAAGAAGCCTGTGGGATTTCCATTCTGGATTTATTTTAAGCAGTCTTTGAAATTGTTCTGGAGAAAACACAAACATTGAGCCCCTTCCCAGCAGCCTGAAATGTAAAAACAAGAAATGACCCATTTCGTAGGAACTTTTAACAGGAAGAACAATGAAGTAATTTAGAATGTGCTTTGGCAGCAACCAGTTACATACATTGTAGTAGGCAAGGTCACTGCTCAGATAAATTCTAAATCCAGTTCAACTTGCCTTGCACTTGTCAGAGATCAAATACATAGCCACATGCAGTTACAGTGGTTAACGCTTCAGAAGGAATTTGATTAGGTGAGGAAGGGTTCACGGGGTGCAGCTTGAGAAAACGATCAGATCAGAAGGAAAAAAAAAAAGGAGGAGGGGAGAAAGAGTGCAAAAGATAAAGGCTGGACCTTATTTGTCATGTTTGCAGATTTGGATCTCTGCCACCCACCTTAGGAAAATAATAATAATAATAATAAATGAAATAACAGGAAATAAAATGGCTGCAACACAGAAGTGGGCACAATGAATGAGGAATAGGATATGTAACTAGGAGAGAAGCCAGGAAACAGATTTAAAGAAGGGACGGAGCTAACGCTGCTGGGGTAACAAAAGGGTGTATTTTTTTTTTTTTAATTGTATGTTACAATGGCTTTTGCTGCTGTCTGCAGATCCTGCATTCAACATGAAGAGCTGTGGAACAGAAAATGGGGAACTCATTAAGGAATTGGGTACAAGTGACAGTTGGATTCCTTATAGATCAAGTCAATAACATACCTGCCTGTAACTGTTTGAAGACTACACAGTGACAGATTTCAGCTGTCATAACAGAATTCAGAAGATGAAACAGTTAAGAGAATAAGCAGAAGAAAAAGAACCAGTCAGTAATAGTCTGAAAGCAGATAAATACCTTGGATAGCAGGTTAAACAAAGACAATGAACATAAATCTTTTCTGTCCAAGGGGGAAAAAAAATGGTAAACAAAGATAAAAATAATCAGACAATAAAAATACATGAAAAGGAGGGGGCCAAGGAAAGACTGACTGTATTGAAGCACAAAGAAACAAACAAACAAAAAGGATAGAGTATACAAAGTCATGCAGAAGAAACTAAAGCAGGATAATAAATGTATAAAAGTAAACAGAACACAGACAATTTAAGTAGAGCCCCCTTGCAGTACACTTGAGTCAGTCCACACTGGTAATTGGCTCATAGCTATTATTCCTAACAGCACGATGAGGTGGTATTCAAAGCACTGGAGGGCCTTTGAAAAAAAAGAAAAAAAAAAGAAAAGAGGAAGAGAAAGGAAGAAGATGAGACCAAAGAAACCTTTATATAAAGCTACAAGTAACTAAGAACACCACAGGGAAGCTCATCAAGTCATCTGGTTAGAAAATAAGGAAAAAGATTATTTTTCTAGCCTTGGTAGGCAGCTACTATACTCGGACTGTACAGAAGCATGTAGTAGACGCAGAGATGGGGATGGTGGAAAAATCAGGTAGATGTAACAAAATGCATTCTTCATAAGGTCAAAACTGACAAGCTGTTAAAAATATGTCTGAATGGGGTGACGAGCAAAACAAGGCACTGACTCTTTTGGAAAAAATACTGAAGTCCTTGCAATCTGCTACCACCCACTGCAGCCACACAAGAGGGAGATGCAGTAAGACCACGAAAATAGTGTTTTATAAACTCTTTCCCTGCATTCCTAATGTTTCACCAGTCAAACATGCTGTGTCAGAAGTTACCTCTTCAAGTACAGCTAACAGACAAGTGGAGGTGAAATTAAGTGCTACAGAGCAAGACAGAACTCTGTTCCAAATTTGTGTTACCAGCCAACTTCATAGAATCATAGAATAGTTAGGGTTGGAAAGGACCTTAAGGTTATTTAGTTCCAACCCCCGTGCTGCGGACAGGGATAGCACACACTAAACCATGTCACACTTCCGCACTATTTAGTGATCTGCCTATGTGTGCAGTGGGGGTGAACACTCAATGGTAGAAATAGTTTTAGATGCAATACAGAATTGAGTACAGCCAGCTTCAACAAGGACAATCACAACAATAACTGATACAGATATGGCTGTAGGTAAAGGGCAAGTTTTTGGGCAGGGAGAAAACAGAGGGAAGAAACACAAAGAGAACACTGTTATTCAGAAGGAAATTAATATAACTGCTATAAAATACAATTAGAGTTCTCCAGGTGTCTCTTATTAATTGCAATTACCTCCTCTGTCCTCCCATACAGGAAATGGTGTTCTTCAGTTAAGAGGGCTGGGCACAAAGAGCACAGTAGGGAATTTCAGATCTGTTAGACTAGCAAAGGGAAAACTACAAATTTAAAAGCTGACAGACAAGGGGTATGGCTGAACACTTGAAAACTCTAAATCCAAACTGTATTTATGTTATCTAAGATTGACTTTTCACTTACCCATTGATAGATGTTCTAGACATAAAGAGGCTAAAAATTGAGGACACAAAAGAGTGATAGAGCTGAATAAACAGCCAGCCTGATTTCTCAATGCTGTTGTTTAAGAAGATTTGTGTTCCTTGGTCAAGGTAACTCTGGACAAAAATAGGCTGAAGGGATTCAGACAACTGTTCTGTGTTGCAGACATACCACTAGAGAAAGAAATAAAGGATCATTAAAAAATTCAGCAATATAAAACCAGAAGTACTTAAACTGAATACAGAAAAGGCTGTTATCAATTTCTGTAAACATAAAAATTGAGGTTTTCCTACAGACTTTTCAACAAGCTTCAGGATTAATTTCACTTAGATTTGAACTGTAATCAAGCAAGGATCAATTGCTTTCTAAGAAATAATACTTTTAGATTTTGTCTTAATTATTACCCTGCACTTTGAGGAATTCTACAAAGTAAATTCCCCAGGAGGCATATGCAGGTCCTCTATGCAACCTCACCACACTGACAAAATAGTATTAAGTGGGATAACATTATTTTCTATCTTCCCACTCATTCTCACATTTGCCCTAGGCATCCCCTGAAACCCAATCAGCAAGTGCATTTGCAGTATTTTTCCAGGAAAGGAGAGAGAGAATCCAATCAATACTTTTGAGCAGAGCTTGCCTATGTGAACTATGTTTCTTCACTTACCAGTACCAAAGGGCAGGTCATTATGTCTATGACCTGCTGCCTCCCAGCATCTCTACTAAAAAACAGGAGCAGTTTCCCACATGTAGGAATTCATCAGTACCAGCTGAAAGGCACTTCTACACTTCATATTGGTAAAATCTAAAGCCCAAGGTAGAATGGATCAATGATTTTCTATTTGGGAAAGTAATAAAACGTAAAATATTCTACTATTTTACTATCCCCATGTAAGGCATACCTGAACTCCTTTAAAAGCTGTTTTACATTACTTAAATGCAGAATAAAAAACCTGTGCAAAACAAGGCAAACATAAATCCTGAAATTTTAGGACTCTCATGGCCACCTTCTGCACCTCCAGCAAATACCTGTAATGCTGCAGCATTCTAGAACGTCAGCACTGACAATAAACTTCCAAAGGTTATTCACTGCTAGGGTGCAATGCCAAGCTAAAAACCCCTCCGCTCAATATGCGGAAGTTACAAAAAAAACCTTTAAATATAATTTTAATTCAGAAGGTTGCTCTTATTTTTCACTCTCCTACACTTATGCAGTTATTGTCGGCCCTGCAAGAATCTCTAATGTCATTGTGTCTGTTTTCTAATATCAAGAGTTATTCCCCCCAGCTAACACTCTCTTCCCCCTTACTTCTTGCAATAATGTTCCTTAATCTGGCTGCATATGTTTATTGTGCAGATAGGGAGTTACAAGTATCTTAAAGAGATTTTGAGAGTTTTAACAGAATCTTGTAAAAATGCACGTGGAAGGACAGCAAATGGTCAGCTGGGGTAACTCCCCAATGTCTTAACATCTAAGATTGTATCTATAGCCATATAATGCAAAAGGTGTGCTCATATCCTGATCCCTTCACATCTGTTGTACCTTGTTGGAACAGTCACTTAGTGCATGTTTATACAGTGTTCAGCACAATGAGACTTCCAGGCTCTACTGTAAAATAAATAATAATGAGACAAGATTCTTATTCCAGCATCCTGCTGCTTCACAATAATAGTGCCAGCAAGCAGAGGGGAGCAGACAGCTGCATGAAGATCATTATGCCAGATTCATAAACAGGGGTTCCATCAAACACTGACCCAAAGCAGCAAGGGATGTCAAGAGCCTCCAGCCAAGGAGCAAATATAAGCCGGCTCAGGTTTACTTTGAAAACCACTTGTGTAATGGGCACATTTCCAGCAGAATCAGGCTCTTAACTGTACTTTCAAACACACTTGCAGGCAGCAGAAGTACATGATTCTTTCGTCTAAAAACCAGATCTTGAGCAAGTTTGTGCCACATGATGGAGCATGGCACAGAGAGCCCCGAGACTGCCGATTTACCAGTTTAGGTCTTTTCTCACTGCAGCACAGTGCTAGTTAAATGAATCAGCATAGTCGAGTGATTCCCAAAAGGAATCCCTAGTGAGTTGTGAAAAACCACTAAAGCAGCAGCCTGTGTACTTTGTCCATCCATCTTCAGAAGCCAATTTCAGGAGCCTGGCAGAAGTGAACAAACCCAATGAGCAGACTGGGCTGTGTGTCTGGTTCATTTATCCAGACTGGACATGTCTAGAGCGGCTCAGATGCCTTTTTCCATGTGTTGCCATTTTCAATCCAGAAAAAAAGTATCCAATTATCGAAGCTTTGGGAAACACAGGCTTTGTTCCATAAGCAATATGATGCCATATACACTGTACCTCAGCTCATACACCTTGGTTCTGCACTCAACTGTCACCTGTAGTTCCAGCATCTGGCCATGGAAATCAACAGTCCTACAGTTCTTGTCTTTAAGACTTCTAAATATTGATATATATTGACATAACTATTGGCAGAATGATGATGGTAACAACTGTGAGAAGAAAAATTTGTTTCCAGAAATGAGGAATTGTTCATAGAACTCCTCTAATTTCTTCCACATGGTTAATCTTGCCAATAAGGTTTACTGGCAACTACCTAGATAACACTAGTAAATAACAGAAATGATAGCAAATTACAGAAGGGGAAAAAAAAACCACCAAACAACAAAACCAAGCAAAACAAACCAAAGGCAACACAGGATAAAACCAATCCAAATTTCAAATGACAAAACTGGTGAAAAACACCTTAATTCTGGAATCACTTTTTCAGAACAGGAACTACTTTTGTTTTTCTTCATGTACAATACATGAAGAGCCCTTTTCAGGACACAAGTTTCATGACAGGAATGAACATCTTGCAGCACAACAGCAGAAAAACTACAGCACAAAAATCTGAAAAGATATGTTAAGACCTTGTTTATAGTAAAAATTATAATTATTGACGACTCGTGCCTAGCATTAGTGAAAGGAAGAAAATGTTCTTTTAGATAATTTACATAAAACTAATGAAGTCAGTAAAACTGCAGTCAAAGTACCTGGGGCCTCAACAAGCAATCCTTACTTATGAGTAACCCCACAAACTCTGTAACCATAAATCTTATTAAACTTCCTAAATAATACATACTTTATGTTTAAAATCTAGATCCAATAAATGAGAAATTGAAATTATTCAATGCAGACCATCTACCAGCAGATGACATAATCATCTCCGTAACACATTTCCTTGGCTTTGTCTTTCTAGTACAATTTTTCACAACACAAAGACTTTCAGGTTTTCTTTGTTCACCAGAAGGAAGTTTTTTTCTGTAAACCTGAATTCTGCTTCTCTTTGTACTTATGCATTGAGTGATCCAAACTGCAAACCATATTCATTAAACCCAATACATTCACTCCGTAGCAAGATTCTGGGTGTCAGTGCCCACCCAGAGCACTAAAGACACTTCAGTAACAGACGAGCTTGGAGAATTACAGTGCATAATTATGTTCTACCTTAGAAGCAGTCTTCAAGTATTTACGCTACATCATCTTCATTAGCTCAGCTCTGTATATTTTACTTAGAATAAGTTAGTATATTCCTTCAACACTGAGAGGTTTTATTAGCCATTCTGAATACCTGCCAGATTTTCAGCAGCATTTTGGTAAAATATAGTGCAGATCCGAACATATTACAAATGCAATTGTACTGCAAGGGTATAGCCCCTCATTTCCCACAAAGTACTGATACACGTGCCTGTGCTGCTCAAGTATAGCACTAACCTTTTATTGCAGTCATATCACATTGCAAACTCATTTCCAGCTTGCCATCTATTACTGTTCCAAGACCTCCGCGAGCTTCACAGTTTCCCAGTTGCTCACTTTTTCCTGTTTTCCTCTAGTATTAATTAAAAGCGTCTCTGTGATTACAAACCCATCCCATTCAACACCACCTGCAAACTTCACTCAAGTGCACTCACAGAGCCCACCTGGCAGACTGTTTACATCTCTCAGGGGCAGCCCTGACACCCAACCCGACGCCTCACCTGAGTAAGGGGACACAGCGCTGGCTTCCCACACCGCCGTTACCGCCGGGCTCCGAAAAACCCCCGCGGCGAGCACCCCAGCCCACGGCAGCTCCAGCTCCTCTCCTCTCCTCACAGCAGGCTCCCGGACGCATTTCACACGTCAACTTTCTCACCGGCACGACGGAGCTGTTCCCTCTCTTTGTCTGGCGCTGCCCGGCCCGGTGCCCCCTCAGCCTGCCCGAGGGTACCCCGCTCTTCCCGCGCCGCTCCCGCTGCGGCTGGTACCTTAGGACGCCCCGGAGAACGATGACTCCCCCCACGCCCCCCTCCCGCTGTCCCTAGCGGAGCTCCCCGGGAGGGTGGGGGGAGGCCGCCGTGCCCGCCCGGGAGCCCCCCTTCCAGCCCCACCAGGAACAGGCAGAGGGGGAGAGGCGAGAAGGGAAGAACAGCTGCCTTGGGGCTGTACCTGGTGGTTCTCTCTGGCGCCCGGGGCTGGGTGGCTGTGGCTGCCCATCATATTCACGTAGATGGACCTGGATAAAGGGCTCCTCAGGTACCTGGCAGGGCCAGCCCACATCTTCCTCCTCAGCACCCACAGGAACAGGGTGTAGCAGCCCAGCCAGATCAGCCACAGTCTCATCGGGGAAGGGGCGCGGAATCACCCGCTGCCACCGCCTCCCCTTTCCATGGCAGCGGCGGCGCCGGCAGCACACAGCCAGCCCGGCGCGGCTCCGCTCCGGGGCCCGCACACACGCTCAGGCCGGAACGCGCGGCTCCGCGGCAGAGGGGGCCAGCCGGACGCCTTCGCTGCGACACGCCGCGGCCTGGCGCGCACCCGCTCCCTCCCTTTCTCTCGCCAATCACAGTGCGGGCGGGGCCGTGGCGCGCTGCGTTCAACCCGGAGCGGGGCAGGCTCCGTGCAGCCTGTCCGTACCGCCCCTTCCCGCCGCTCCTTCCCCATGCACCGGTCACCGGCGGCGGCCGACCCTCTCCCCCTCCCACACGGCTCACGCCGCCTCCCTCAGGAGCGCACGTGCTTGGCACCGCCCTGTCACCCGGTGCTGCGCGTGCGCAGAGCGGCCTTGGCGGGGTTGAGGGCAGCTGAGGGAAAGTGGGCCGGGCCTTAACCGGGAGGGAAGCTGCCCAGGTACTGCCGTGAGGAGTCCCTGGAATGAGAACCAGCCGTTAATTACGGTTCAGACCTTGGGACCGAGTTCAGTTCTTGGCTAGCATAGCAGTAAATGCTGAAAGATGGAAGTGGGGCTTTGCACAAAGCTGTGCTTGGCTTCCCTCAGCTCCAGGTTCTTCCTGTACAGAGGAACGTGAGGTCGATAAGCATGGAGGTGATGATATTCCATAAAAAAAACCAAAAACCAAACCAAACCACAAGCATTTAAAGATAAATCAGGTCATTACATGGTTTGCTCTTCAAAAGGAACTTGTGTTTTCAGATGGAAGACCACAGCTGCTTGATACACGAAACTCAATGTCCTCATACATCTCAGTTTTTCCTCTAAGTAACTATTTTGAAGTGGCTCAGAGTAAACTTTATGCTCACGTGGAACTTGTGCAACGTTTTGTTTTACAAAGCTGTTTTTACAAAACACAGCCTGGTCCCAGCAGCACAAGCACGGGTCACTGCACACTAGGATCTAAGGCCCTTGATCCATGAAATTTTTTCTGGACACTGGCATATGCATGTAGAGGGAGGAGAGGTCATTGTGTAGGCAAGAGAACAAGAACTTGAGAGACTCCTGCACCCTGTTTCTGTGCATGGGGATGCAATGGGGCATGGTGGAGACCAGTGGATAAAAATGCATCTTTGATGCAACTGGGACCCTATGGAGAAAGTGGGACAGGTCAATATGGATAAACATGTTTTGGCTTCACACTGCAGCAGGTGCCTTTGCTAGAACAAAAGCCATAGTCACCGGGGGTTTGCGTGAGGCACCACTGTTCTCACGCTCTCAGAAACATAGGTTGTTTGTGGTAATAGCATAGGAAGTGAGGAAATCGGTATACAACTGAAACTGCAAGAAAATCTAGACAAAAACTACCTCATTAATCCAAATTCCAGCAGAGTACGGCATCAGGGCTATCATCTCTAATCCCTAAAATCTTTCTTAACAACCACAAGCAATTGGTATCTCTCCTTTTGATCAGATGTCAAACGCTGGACTTGAGCCCCTTAATTTCTGGTAAGGATGACACTGGAAGCCAGACCACCATTGGAGCATAGAATCAACTAGGTTGGAAAAGACCTTTAAGATCAGCAAGTCCAACCATTACCTAGGACTGCCAAGACCACCACTAAACCAAGTGGCTTCTACCTGGAAGATCCTGGCTTCTACCTGGAAGATCCTGTGATCAAGCACTAATCGCATCCAACCTTGGCTGTGATTATCCTGGGAAATCAGCAAAACCGGAGCAGTAACAGAATATTGCCAGAGGATTTTTCTGTTTAGTTTATTTTCCCTGATGTTCAACCTCCTCAAGGAAAGTTTCTGACATAAGAGCTTGAGACAGTTTTCCACATGAAGATCTTTTCTCTCTACTAGCTAGATAGGCTAAGATGCCATTTTGGTCTATTTCTTTTTATTTGGTTTGCGATTTCTCTGCTTTCGATGTATGTTCTTGTTTGTAAAGACAGAGGGTTTTTTTTTTCCCCTCCAGGAATAAAACAACTTTGTAATCAAAATCCAAACTGACAAAAGCTAAATTTGCTGCTTTTTAAACAGACATCTGTGCACAGTGTGTAAACCAATAAATAAAACTGCTTCAGGTTAGTTACATGTTGTTCACAGGGAAACACAGCTTAATTTTATCACATGTAAAATACAGATAATAAATTACACACCAAATAAATTAAGAAATATGCTAGCTTTTGTCTTTGCATTGTAGTTATACAACCAGGGTATGTTTTAATGTGATTTTCCAAAGTTCCTACCCAGTGTTGCATTTGTCATTAATATTCTGCTATGGCAGCTGTATAGGAAGCATATTTTTCTCTTGACAGGCTATAAAGAGAACACTATTCATGCATATTTAGGTAATAGTTTTTATGTGTTGTTATTTGCATACAGGCTGGTGGAATTGTAGCCAATTGCTGTACAGTCTCAGGAAACTGTGAGCATGTGCGTATGTCATTCAAAGCAATCAGTATGCTGGGAGAGTATTTACAGAAAAAAAAAGGAATCATTTTGTTTCTACTTTCTCTGCAACTATTTAGCGTTTTTGTCTTGATGGAAAATTTCTTAATCAATTGAATACCTAAAGTCCAAAAAGGTCCCAAACATACCCAAAGGTTTTAATACACCATTTGGGTTGTGGTGATCACAAGGAGCGTGGTCTTCTGGAGCAGGACTCACAGTGACAGGGCTGGCTGCACAGCCTCACATATTCTATGATGTAAATCTGCAATTTTCCTGCAATAGAACAACCTTCCCGTCTGTTACTTAAACAATAGTATGAAAGTGATTATGAAAAAGGTCTTTAAGATAAACAAATGTAGACAGCTATCTAAAATCCTCTCCCACAAGGGTAATCCAGGAAGCCCAGTTGTGGGTCTGTCCAGTTCTCTGAGAAAACTCCCCCCAAATCTATTGAATGTTCCTTTACAAAAGCAGCTAGAATTCTTTTGACTGCATGTACTACCAAGCTTTTGCCTGAGCTGGCTTAATTTTATAAGAAAGAGTGCAGAAGTATTGTGGAAATGTGGCTTATCTTAACTGTTCCTTCCCTTCCTGCTTGTCTTTCCTGACAGCACCCATTAGGCTGCACAACCATATTCAAATGTAAACATCCTACTAGCCACGTCAACATAGTATATTCATGAATTACTGAGCAGTTCCAAAATCACAGTACAGCACAAGACTGGGAAGGTCATTTTGTACAAAACAGAACAGAGGCCTGCAAGCTCCACAAAAAATAAAACAAATTTTTTCTTACTTAAAATTAAATTTTTTTATTGTCATTTATTCAGTGTTTTCACTCTATCACTAGTCATACACTGTATTAGTACTATATTAGACTAGCATTCTATAGTGTCTATTAGATAACATCCTTTTGAATCTAGAAGACACTTTTACCTATAGATTTTCAGTTAGAAAAAATTAAATTGATGTATTAAGATCCAAACTCTCAGAATTTATACAGAAACTCCAAGAGTGGGATTTAAACATCAAATTTCTAATTCTCTGAAGTTATCACAGCATTTCATATTTTATATTATACACATTTAAATCCTCTTTATCAGTTATGAGACTATTTTAGACACTCTTAAATTATCAAGATTAAATTGGGGCATTTTTCCAGCAGCAGGACTTCAAACTCAGATACTGTTAGCTAATAAGGAGAGAAAGCAGACAAACCAGCTGTTGCTGGACACTGAACTTTTGCCTTTGATCATCCTGTTACTTGATTCATGGCCAAAAACAATCATGTAGGTTTAGCAGAGGATAACAAAGTTTAGTGGGTGACAGAGAAATGGAGAGTAAGTGACATCAATCATAACATACTGCTAACCTTCTATTCTTGTAATAAGACTACTGCCGGAATTTAAAGCTGTTTTCCAGTCCTCTTCTGGATTGAATATTGGTATGACGAAAGACACTTTTTTTCCTGCCCTTATAGCAAGAGAAATAGGACAGATAAATGGGAGAATAATAGATAATAAATTTGAAAAATTCTTAATATTTTACATATTAAATAACTTGTTCTGTATTTCTCAGATTTGTTTTCTGAACTAGTTTATTCCACACAGTTAGTTAATCTCTCATATTTTAAGGCCGTCTTGCTTAGAAATCTTCCACTATTCTCTTCCTTAAAGATGCAGAATTTAAGGAATTTCTCTTCCTTAAAGATGCAGAAGTTTATAGAGGCTATTCAAACTGTGCCTGCAGTCATATCACCCTTTACTCCTTTCCTGTTTCAGCAAATAAAATGGTATCTTTGCCAAACATTTTCCAGAAAAAAAAAAAATTCTGATCATTTCAAAGAATTCTTGGTATAATTTTGACTCTTCATACCACTTACTAGTCTTCCTGTTGTATAGCACAGCACTCTCCCAGTTGTACACTATGTTCTAATAATTTGATATTAGAACTAAGTAAAAGTCATCTAAGAAACCCTATTTGTGGAACAATAACATTTTCACCTATCAAAATATATATTTTATGAGGATCAGATGAACAAAGGAAATTCAGGAAATACAGAAACAGTAAAGAAAAAGAAAACTGTTTTAAGTTATTTATTACCGTCTATTACCATCACTATTTTAAAGGAATTATCAGGGAGAAGACTGTTTCATATAATGAATCAAAGATTCCTTGGGCTTTTGCTCCTCCTGCTTTTCAAGCACAAAATTCATACATAGAGTGCAGTAGGTCTTTTAAAATTCAGAATCTAAGCACACAATCTATGTCTATCTGCTCTCGTATTTGTGTAAATATTCTTTAGATTCATAAATACAAGTGATGCTAAAATGTGTACATAATGCTATTAGCACGTACAATGCAAATGAATAATGGTATCTGTGACAAGACAGAGACAAAAAAACGATAATGCAACTTAAAATGCCAGCACACTTCTGCCTTCTTACATTTTAACGTAAATTTTCATATTCCTATCAAAGTGTTCATTCGGAATATCTAAATATTTAAAAATGCTATCCCACTTTTTCACTCATCACCTTGAAAGCACTTTGCACTTCAAAAAAGGCAAGGATAAACATTGTTTCTACGCTGCAAATGTAAAAACAAAGGCACAAAATACTTTTTTTCAACACTGGTATTTCCAGTCTCAGACCTCTTCATTAGATTATACTGGTGTCTGCCAAAATGCACTCTTACACTCCTTTCTGTTCAAGTTGCCTATCACAATAAATGTAAAGCCTTAGAAATAAGCTGGCTCAGCGCTTCAAAATCAGGATACGTACAATGCATCTTGTACTTTCAAGTGACTAGCACTCTGTAAGAAAGGTGCTTCTAAAATTGTTTGCCTAGGCAAGATAAAGAACAAAAATTATATTATTATTTTATAGTTAGCTATATATCATTACAAAATTACATGCTGGATATACTGGAGGAAAAAACATAGCAACTTATCATTACAATCTGTGTGAAATAAAAAAGAGGATTCAATGTTCCTGAAATTCTGTCAAAATAGACTTTTATAAAAATCACAGGATCCATTTAAAAGTGTAACTGAAAAGATGCTAGCAATAATTAATCAGAAATTAATTAACTTCAACTGTCAGCACACCAAGTGAGTTTGCCAGTGCCACACTACTAAGCAGGTAGAGTTTGACTCAGTATGCCTATGCTTAGAGTTGTCCAGCTAACTGAACACCACTATATCCCCACACTAATGTTTTCCTTACCACAATGACATTCTGTATGAAGTACTAACAATATGGTACCTTCAAAATAATCTTCCCATTTAAACCCAGAAAACTGCATCTGCCTACCACAACTAGAGACACTCGGAAAGCCAGTGAAGCTATATGGAGCTTTTTCTGAACAGCATTTTCATCTTTTTCTTCTTTAGCCTTACACAGACTTTTACGGGGTAGTTAACTACTCTTGGCTCTTCCCGTGGTAGTTGTCGGATTTGCCTTGATACTCGTCAGCTACACACCATCTAAATTTTTCTCTTCATCTCTTTGCCATCCATGAAGGGTATCCGCCAGGCTCTTCCAGATAAACTTCAGAGATCTGCCATTCTATCAGTATGGCAGAATTAACCCGCCATCTTTGAGGAAGCTGAAGAAAATGCAGTTCCCTTGAATTCCAGGTGCTGAGATGGGATTCCTTTAACTGATATCCATTCTTCAAAGGAGTTAACAGTGACCAGTATATACCAGAAACGGCTTTACCTAGTAATGAAGGATAAATCCCATTAAAGAAAAACAACTGAACTAGAAAAATCTCTGTGCAGGCTCAGCAGTAAGGCTTAATGTGATCTGTGTTACAGTCTTCATAGGCTGAAGAATGCATCTTCACTGAAATGGCTCAAACTGTGTTTGGTCTAATAGTCCATTTAATGCAATTTTGCTTTTTTACATTCAGAACATACTGTCTGATTTACTGACCAACTGTTACAAATTTAGTGTACAGCTGTTACATGACTATTCTGGATTGAAAAGGGAGCCCACGCCAGGATCTGGATGACTGCAATGCAGAGTGGAACCAGACAGATCAAATAGAACATGGCATCATGAAGACCTAAAAACAAGCTGGTGAAGAAGATGCAAACATAGCTTTCAAGGTGAAGAAGATTAACGGTCAATTCACAACAAAAGGACTCACATTATATACATGTACACACATTACTCTGTACAATCAATCCTAAAAGCAAGTATCGCAGATATCAAATGCACTTCAATTATATTTTCTAATTCTACATACAAATATGCGTTTATGTTGTTTGCTCCTTTCATAATAGCTGGGAGGAAATTATATAATTAGTACACAAAGAGTTAATTTCAATACACTGTAGGCAACCTATGAAATCCTGTTCACTACTATACATCTGTATTATGTAATACAGAAATCAATTTAAGTAATATAATCCAATTACAGAACAGAGCATTTGAAAAGCTTTAGGAGGACTGAAAAATCTGGAAGAGAAATAAAAGCAGAAAATGGAAGTAAACATTTTAATATGAAATTATTTTATTTAAGTTAAAATCTGTGCTTCTAGGTATCCACATAGTGTGTTGTTATAGTTGCTGAGTGCTAGATGGAGGTTTTGATTAATGCATAGAATTAGGTATGGTGTAAAGGGCTATATGAAATAGTAAGCACTGTTTTATTTTGTTTAAAATAAATTATTACAGATAATAAAAGCCATAAAAGGAATACATGTGAGGTTAACATTCATTCTCATTTATTCACATGGATGCATACTACCTCCTCACCTAAATCTTCTCTAAGGAATAAGAGATAAAAACATCAACACATATGAATGAGAAAAGCAAAATATTGGACTTTAATGAGTTCCCTTTTATGCCTTTTTATGAACAGTATGGTTTCTGACAGCTTAAAGCATACATTTAGGCATTTATCTAGTAGCTAAAATCATTATCTACCAGCTGGCATTCTGTTAATTATTGGATTCTAATTACTAAATAGCAGGAAAGTCAACTCAAGCTGAGAAACAGCCCCTAAATGAACTTTCTCTCCATGAGGCAGTTTATATTATTTTCTTTATCATTAAGGGATGAGATAGGAGTCTCACAGAACAGGTATGGACGTGATCCAAAAAAAATTGAGATCTGTGAAAAAAACTTGAGCAGGCCTTTCAATAAAACCTAAGTTTCTCTGAATCATTAAAGAATCAACTCATATATCATATCACTACATTTAACAGAAAAAATGCTTGCAGCGTTTATCATAGGCCAGATTTAGTCCTTAGTACATATACACACTCATACAGTGATCATGGTTGATCTCAAGTCATGTATATGCTAATGCTACATAAGAAAACAAAAAAACCCACAGGCTCACAAGTGAATTACTAAATCACTTGGGCAACTACATACAAGACTGGAAGCGTTCGCTAGCAGGTCACTGGTGCATAGCCAATGCTTATTGGCAGTAACAATAATTTACCATTTGGATGTTGTTTACTGGCCTGTATGCAATTGCATCTTCAGTCCACCTACAAGTAAACAAGCGCCTACATCATGCACACCACATCTGCCAGTAGTTAATTGTATGAGCCATGTCAGCAGGGAGGCCACCAACAAATTACATACCTAGCTAAAGATGAAACAGGACTAAGACATGGTTAACAGGATGTTGGGGTTGTACTTAGCCTGTTCTGCATGCTAAAGAGCAGTTTTCATTAGTAAAATTATTCCATTTACACATGGACTTCAGGAAGGACGAAGAAAAAGAAAGAACATCTGCGAAATCACTCGCGCCAGTGCAATCCTGATTTGGTTGGTTTAAGAAAACAATATTATCCATTGTGCTGTAAAAGCCTGATTTACTGCAGGAATTATGAAAAATATCTTTGGTACACAGAACAAGGAATGGGAAAATATTTCATTAAGGGACTGGGATAAATCAAGAGCAGAGATCAGATTTCATTATAGTAACAGCTGAACCAGTAACTTCAGAAATTTCCATGTCTACATTTTTTTGCACACACAGGAATAAAACATAAAATCTTTCATAAACAGCCCTAATAACACTCTGAATAGAATGTCATGTACTCCAGTAATTCAGTATGAAAGTATTAACAGTTGAAAGTGCCTCCAATAAATAATGAAGAGTTGCTGTCAAATTCCTGAGTTCTGAAGAATGAATTTGAAAAGCACACTTTCACGAGAAGTTAGTTGTAATTGTAGGGGCTGTCCAGAAGAGGGAGATTTTAAACTAGGTATCTTTTCCATAGCCAAAACCAAACAGAAAACCCCCAAGCCATATGGGCAGGTAATGCTTTGCTATGATAATGGACAAAAAGAAAAAAAAATCCCGACAGTTTTGGGATTTTTTTGGATTGGGGTCCCAATAGGACTACTGCTAAAATTTTAAGGATATTTAAAAATACTCATTAAACTATCTTCCACTACAAAATGCTTACCTGATGTATAGTGACCAAATTCCCTAAGAATGTGGTATAACGTGTATATTACTGTATGCAGAACCATGTGTAACACATATGGAAATGTGTACAATATACTGGCCAACTTCATGTGTGAATAAGGTTACACCAAAGAGGAAGACAACTTCTGTAAGAGATACACACTATTCATAGCAGAAGTGACACTTCAGAATTATGATACCAGATGTGAAACCAAGAGGTACTGGATTGCTGCTAAGGAAGAAGACATCACTGTGACTAAGAAACCACACTGAGGCAGAAAAAATTACTGGTAAGTAAGGAGCTGATGATGTGAATGGTAAGTTCAAAGGCTTTGGTACAGAGGAAGAGAAAGACAGTCCAGGTCTGCGGAATGCCTGGCTTAATCCAGTACTGGAATCACTGTTCAGCAATAATAATTTTCTCACTTCTGATGAATCTTAACAATCCACCCGGCAGTGTTATGATACCTCACAGATAAAGGACAAAGGGGACCGAATTTTCCTTTCTTCTGGAATCTTACTCTTTGTATAAAACTTCTTCACTGTCTTACCAGCTTGGGTGTGCTGCAGGGTACAACTGTAAGAGAGGCATCAAGACAATGATGAACTACTGTCTCAAAAGGTCTTTTGCGGTAAGAATTTCACTCATAACTTGCCAGTTGCCCTAATAAGCTGCTTGGGAATGTGACTTTACTGAAGCAGAAAACATAGATGTGTGAATTGCTCAACAGCATGATAGCAACAGAAGACAGGCAAAGCTTAAAACCCAGCACCTTATAGTCGGTTGGTACTCTTCATGGAATTCTGGTGCTCTAATGAAGCAATAATGAAATGTCTTTATCATGGAGGATGTCAAGGAGCCATCACACAGCTGAAGAACAAAAATGAGGTCACTGGAATGATGAAGAAGTGTAGATGAGGTCGTGTCATCTTACAGACTTTTTGCTGGAGGCATAAGAATCAGAAGATACATGATTGGTCTCAGCAGACAGCTTTTGATAGACATATTTATCTTTTTTTGGTACAGGGGAAGATGAGCACCAAAGAGCATATTTATGAAGGCAACTTCTAAAGGCAGTATGCTATTAATAAAATGCTATAAAATGTGTAAGATAAATGAAGTAGAGGAGAAAAAGACATCCCCTTCCCTTGGAAGCTGTGACCTTTTTTTGATATGCAAGTAGAAGTCATTCAGAAAGTTTCTGAGCTTCAGCATTCCATATGGTCTTGAGTAAGCAACACATCAAGAAAGGAGGAATGAGGAAATTAAATGAAAATATTACACAAAAATAAGTGTGAATAATGATGTTCTATCATTTTCAACAGTAAACTCATTGCTGGAAAATATGTTTTACTACAGCAAAAGCTGGGAAGTTGCTGAGAATACGAAACCACGCTTTTCTCCACTCAGTCCACAGAACATTAATATATAAAACATACAACATCCCCCAAGCTAAACACAGATAATAAGTTATGTCTTATTAAGATTCTTTTGCTTTGTAAGAGCATCTGTGAAATAACTGTGAAAAAAAAAACCTAAAGTGACAAGCAAGATCTGTATATAAAAAGCAACTGCTTATCTGTAACATATTCATATTTTCACTATCATTAAATACTGGAATTTTGTTCACAGATTTAGACCCATGGAATGATTGAGGTTGGAAGGGACCTTTGGAGGTCTCCTGCTCCAAACCCCTGCTCAAGCAGGGTCACATAAAGCCAGCTGCCCAGGACTGTGTCTAGACAGCTTTTGAATATTTCTAAGAATGGGGAGTCCACAACCTCCCTGAGTAACCTGTACCACTGCTCAGTTGCCCTCACAATAAAACAGCGTTACCTGATGTTCAGAAGAAATCTCCTGTTTTTCAGTTTATGCCCACTGATCTGGTCCTGTCACTGGGCACCACTGGAAAAAGCCTGAATCCAACCTCTTTGCACCCTTCTATAAAATATTTATACACGTTAAGAAGATCCCCCTCATGATTCTTCACCAGCCTGAACAGTCCCAATTCTCTCAGCCTTTCCTCATAGATACTCCAGTCCCTTAATAACCTGTAGTCCTCTGCTGGGTTCTCTCCAGTATGCCCATGTTTCCCTTGTACTGTGGAGGCCGCATTTGGACACAGTGCTCCAGAAGTGGCCTCATCAGTGCTGAGCAGAGGGGAACTTAGACCTGCTGGCAATACTTTGTCTAAGGCAGCCCAAGATAATGCTATTCTCTGCCTTTACCACAAGAACACATTGGTGGCTCATGTTCAGTTTCGTGTTCACCAGGGGCCCCAGGTCCTTTTCTGCCAAGGTGCCTTCCAGCTGGGTGGTCCCGTCATATCCTGGTGCCTGGGCTTGTTCCTCCCCAGGTGCAGGACTTGCATTTCTCTTTATTGAACCATGAGAATCCTGTCAACCCATTTCTCCAGCCTCTCAAGATCCCTGTGGATGGCAGCATGACCTCTGATGTGTCAGCCACACCTCCCAGTTTTGTGTCATCAACAAACTTCCTGAGGGTACATCCTGCCCAATCATCCAGATCATTAGTAAAGATGTTAAGCAGGACTGGACATACTATAGACCCTGATGATACACCACTAGTGTAACTACTAGTTAGTAGCCTGCAACTAGACCTCATGCCCTGATAACCATCTACTCCTGGCCATTCAGCCAGTTTTCAACCCATCTCACTGTCTGCTCATCCAACCTGTATATCAAATGCTTTTTTATGAGGATCTTATGGGAGACAGTTTCAAAGGTCTTACTGAAGACCAAGTAGACAATATCCACCACTTTTACCGCATTTATCAAGCCAGTCATGTAATTCTAGAAGTTTATCAAGTTGGCCAATTATGACTTCCTCTTGGTGAAGCCGTGCTGACTACTACTGATGATTTTATTGACCTAATGTGCCTGCAAATGGTTTCCAGGCTTAGCTGCTCCCTCATTGTTGCTATGATTTAATTTTCCACATTAAGAATTTTAATTGTATATTAAGAAAAACTAAGTAATTTAGATTCAGGAAATAGCTTATGGTTTTGGACTGCACCTTCTCTCTCCTCCCAGTAAACAACATTGCTGGAAACTCTTTAAGACATATTTATTCAGGGCCCAAACATTTTGTTAATGCAGAATAAAGGTTCTCTGGCCATCTTGACAATTCACTAACACTATACCTAATTAAGTAAATGCTTCCCAGAACACTTAATAGATGCTGCCAGCTTTGGAGAAGGAGAAAGGACAGTGGAGCTGAGATTGTATTGGAATGGATGAGAACCCTTCATTATATGTAATTCGCATGTGTGATTTTTTCCTTTTTCCCAAACAGTATGAGCATATTTTAAGCAACCTCCTGTATTCAGTTTCTCTTTGACCCCAACCAGCTTTGTCCTGAGGCAAGTGTATTCTAGCTATCTGCCTATGGCTGAAATCTGAGATAGATCTGATAGGGTTTTAATACGTGTAAGTAATTTTAGCTCAGTCAATGGTCTGAGTACATTGCCATGGGCAAACTGACTCCCTAGAAACAATCCTGAGTAGTATGGTCTTTGTGGACTTTATGCCCACACAGTAGTCCAATTGCAAAGAAAAGGCCATGCACATTCACACATATATACATACAGAAAACATGTGCAGACTGCTTCAGATTTAAGAAATTATTTTCGAAGGGATAGGCAAAAGAAATATAATTCAGGTGCTCCTTAATTAACTGATCTCAGCTTTGTACCTTTATGCTGTTTCTTGCTCTAGTTAAATAAATCAAAGTTCAGCATGACTGAAGTGAAAATACAGTTTTAGAGACTGAGCAAAGTATTTCAGCTCTCTATGTAAGAAATATATTGTTGCTATAGTCCAGAGTCTACTTACTGGGAAAAAAAAAAAGATTTGTAATTACTGTGATTTAAAATCCATCCACAAAGGTATCATTTATCTGATTGAAATGGATTAGAACTGCAGGTTTTATGTTTTAAGTCTGATTTTCTCTGAATCATCAAGATTAATATATTCAGCCCTCTCATATCCACATCCAGTTCAACTTAGGACTCTTCTGCAAAAGAAAAGATCACCCATCTTATTTGACATTATAATGAGGTTCATGTCCTCTTCACATCATCTCACTGGCTGGCTATGGACAGAATGTATTAAAATGAAATCAACTCAATCAACTCAATCAAAACAGCCTCAAAGTAAAGCCTTCTTTGCTTGTGTCAGGATGCTTTTCTGAAGACCACCTGTTGTCTTTTCATGCCATGTTTTTACTCAGAGATTTCTTTAGAAAATTCCTCAAATACGACACATTCTACCAGCCTCAGGTGACACAACCAGTCTTTTCTCCTTCAAGAGCTCCCTCCACAAAAGTTCACGTACAATTGTCTTCTGTGTATTTAAGGTTGTTCTCTCAAGCAAATCCTTATCAAGACTGGTTTTTGCCTTGTAGCCCTGACTTCGGTCATTCCTCATGTTGCCACTTCCTCTTGTTGGTCATAAATAAACACCCTTTGACCCTTTCAGTGTACTGATTCCCTCTTTATTAGTTTTTTACAAAAGCCCATGCATTTCCAATGTGCTAACTAGCAACCTGTGTATTAAGGTCTCCAGGGACTGCAATGAAATCGTTAGCATTAGAATGATAAGTAGTATCAAAGCCAAAATTATACTCCTACTTGAGGAAAATTCCCTTCCTCCAGTGATTATACTGCTTTCTCTCAGACAAAAATGTATCTAAAAAGCAATGCTGTTAGAATTATGTATTTATGGAAGTAGGTTTATGAGATAAACAAAACACAAAAGCCAGGACAACATCTATCTTGAGGTGATCTCAAAGATTTCTTTTCTTTTTTGCAATAGAACAGGAGGTGGTCAACTACTGAAATTTATCCTTTGTGTTTCAAAATCAGGTAGATACCCTCATGTGTACTGTTTAGGAAATGATTCCTTTAAAAACTATTTCTATTCCTCCACAGATAAAAAACAGAAAAATATTTTTTAAAGCACTCATGCTTTTGAAGTGCAGTTCATGCAAACTAATTGCAGATTAATTTGCTTTTTAGATTATTTCATGTTAATTTCTGTGATTTAAAGTATCCCTTTTGAACTCACCTTGGATCAGGTTGAGCAACTTCATTATTCAGGTTCTCATATCCAAATTGATTTAGTATTGTAACCACAAGCATTGGAGCCAAAGATTGGGCAGGCTTCATAAATAAAGCATTGGTGTCAAAAACCATAGAGGAAAGTGGTGATCTAAAATAGTTAAGGAAAAAAACCCAAGAAATGAATGCACAACACAAACTTGTTAGTATATTAATTACAACAGTGATTTTTAAAGTCCTTTTAATATGCAGATGGTAACTGTTATGATACTTGGCTTTATATAGTTCATCCATTATAGCAAACAGATCAATCATCATAATGAAATTTAAATTTCTTTGGAAATGAAAGGTAATAAACCTCTGGTGTATATATACAGCATGGCCCCAATTCTGAAATGACTTGCAGTCAAATTCAACTTTGTGCACATAGAGTGATAACTGAAGTGAAGTTAGACTGAACAGTGCAGGGAGAGTTAATTACTTCAGAATTTACATGCATGTGGCCAGAAAAGGAGGCATTTTTTTATTCATGAAAGCAATAGCTCTCACCTTTGAGGGGCAAGTCCTTTCATACAGTTACCAGGACTGAATCTGCACTTAAATAAACATTGATGGAAGCAGTGGGAAGTTACCTGCACTTTGGTAAAAATCCAGAAGATCCATGAGTTGTAATATGTTACATCACAGCAGGTTTTATCAATTTTTATTTCAGAGAGATAACAGCAACCAGTTAGACTTTGAAATTTACACTTGAAGTAGCATAGGCAAAGTTTTATAAGCACCTTTTCCATGTTAGAAAGGCCTTATTCAGAAAATTTTGTAAATTACAATAAATGTATGTGGTTACAGAATAATTCAATTGAAGCTAACAAAAACAGAAACACAAAAAAAAATTAAGGACCTGGCTTATACTATGTATAATTAAAACTAGAAATTACTTAATAATCTGTTGCAATCACTCTACTGAATTAACTGCAGGAAACTTGAATAAAGTTCATATCTTTATTTATGCTAAGTTGCTCATACAAAAACTAGTTCTGTGTCAAGGATCCAAGACTATTTACTGTCTTTACTTTGACATGATCTAGCTTATGAAAGAGTAACATGGCAAGGAGATAGCATATTTACAGAAAAAGTTCTGATGGACATACCTCCACTTGTGCTTTATTAAATCTGCATCAACAGTATCTGCCAAAGGCAAATTGAACAAACTAAATGAAGCTTGCACAATTACCCAAAAAAGGACAAAATATTTAAGATGATCACAGTTCTTATATACACTTTCATAATGAAATCGTAACTGACATTCTAGCATACATACCCCAATACTGACCTTTCCATAACCACAGAGACTTTCTTTAAAACTATGTGATTTATCTGTTTAAACAGCAGCTCTGAAAGCATTATTAGATCTGTTCTTAACTGAGAATTACAAAGCAATATGCAAACCTAGGTTTTTTCTCTTTTCTCTTTTTTTCTCGGACACTGGTGCAAAAGGTCATAAATATTTACTTGAGGTTATCAGTAAATGTCACTTAAAATGACATGGAGAAGAGAAGCACCTGAGAGGAAAGAGTGACTGAAAATTTCTTCTTGAAATTTGAAAAGGACATGAGCATTACTAGAAAGACCATATGGAAGACAAACTTCCAAGTGGGAGAATTAGGACAATAAAAAGATTTGATATGCATTCCTATATATTTACTTACATTGTATTCATGTTTGCATATGTGTGTATATATATGCCTTTAAACACACTCACCCAGAAACAACTCTTGAACTGTGAAGAGAATCCATAAACTCAAATATTGAGATTCCTATGTCTTAGTACATTTTGGGTGTGATTAGCTTTTATTTAGAAGAGGCTTTGAACAACTAGCACTTTAAACATAGAGTCTTTAGATACCTTAGAGGTGTTTTTTTTTCCTGGGGAAATCAACATATATCTTCACCATTTAAAGTATGCAGGTAATGAGATTCAATTTATTGTTCACACAATCCAGTGTTAACAGTAGCCCATGACTGATATACTGAAAATGAGAATGAAAACAGGGAAAAGAAGAAAAAAGATGAAGGATGGTAGGAAAGAACATGTAGAAAGAATGCATTAAAATAGAAAATTAAAAAAAAAAACCACCACCAAACCACTGTGACAATATTCTGATACAAAGGTCTTTTTTTAAATAAGAGCTTCTCTGCTGAGATCTCCTCTGTCTACGTGGATCAGAAGAGATTCTGCTTCCCTTGAATCTCATGTTATAGCAGGTAAGTGGCTGGAAGCATGGGGCTGCAAACCTTCATCACTGTTCATACTTCAGGTTTTTTTTTTTTTTAAGCAGAAATTAAAAGCTGAAGCAGAATAAAAAGAAAGCTGAAAAAAATTGTAACTGGAGTTTCAACATTTTTAACAAGAGAAACAGAACAGAAAGAAAACCATAAAAGAAGTGGCAAAATCTTCACGCTATTAAAAGCAAGTGTCCACTCTGTTAGAATTATTTAAGCTGTATCTATGAAAAGGGAAGTGTATTTACTTACATGTTTGTCATGAGGTAAAATGCCAACAGATAACAGTGTTCTGACCCTAGAATAAACATGACAGCAGCAGCTACTCCTTCAAAGTAGAAGGAAAACATGATGATTCTGTAATAACCAAACTTCTTCAGTGAAGCACGACTGAGAAGAACAAGGCACTGAAAAGATAATATATACACACATATGATATACATACAGTATCTCAGCATTAGGAGAGCTATAAAGCACAGACCAGATGTAATTTATTATTAACCATTAAGGAAAAAAAAAACAAAGAACAAACAAAACTAAAGCACAAACCAACCCTTTGTGAAAAGCTCAATTCAAGTAAAAACTAGGAACTGAAAAAAAGAACTATCTACTGGCTCATTCTGTGCTACCTCTACCAGGTAAGAAGGATTTTTCACTCAAAACCAGCCAGCTGAGAACTACAATATCCTGAGGAAGATACTGTTTCCCACATTCCCATACTATTATTTAATGCTCATGAACTTTATGTCTGATATCCCTTAAATAGTTAAATTTGCAGTAATATTAATTGTAAACCAAGCATTTGCCATTTTAACTGCTGGTCAAAAATATTTCCAATAATTGTTTTTCTCATCAATATTACTACTTTCACTGGCATTTGTAGAAATTAAGCACAAATTTTAGGTTGATAAAGCAAGCTCACCAAGACAGCTGATGGAAGCAAGTTAGAGACTTCACTAGCAAGTAGAGAAAGGCAGATGCCAGTGGACAGCACGTATGGCTACGTTTTAGTTCTGCCAATCATAGCAAGCAGTAATCCATATGAGAAGCTAGTGATGGCTAACCTCATGAAAATGGTATTAAGTGCTGATTATAGTATAAACAAAGAGTAAGCTCTTCTCTATTGTTCCTCACTTTACATTTTGTAATGAATTATGTTCTTTTTATTATACGAGCCTATGTGACCATCTATATGTATGCAGTCCTCATCACTATCATAAAAAATAGTCACTGACTCTATAAAGATACACATTTTCTCCTCCCTCTGTGTTACAGAGATGAATAGTGTAATATTAAAATGAAGAACAGGAAAGAATTCTCTTTGTACATTTGTTCACACATTTAAATGCTTTAACATAATGAATTAAAACCAGGATGCTACAGTCAAAGATTACTGTGGCAAATACTATCATAAATAAGTTCAAGTTTTCTACTTAAACCAAGGATCAGGGAGGTAAAAAAAGTCTGGAAAGTTGGTATAAGAAAAAAATCTGGTTTAAAGAAACTTAAATATCCTCGTCCCCTGGCTGTTTTCAGGCATTTTACAGAAAAGTGCCTACACTAGAAATGGTACAGGATTATTTAATGCCTGTTTATTGTAAAAACCATGACCTTGTCTCCCTGTAATTGAGAAATAACCCTGTCTCAGGAAGTACTTATGACTGAATATTCCTTAATACCTGCATGTTTCCAAGACTGCATATTTCTAAGCAAACTAACTTAATGATGCAAATTTAGATTGTTTGCCTGTGTTTCAGCAACGAAGTTTCCTTGTAGACAGGTTTTATTCTCCACAACCACTACTAAAAGGAAGCAGAGGCAGAAGTACAAGCCACTGAAGCACAAATTCCTAAGAAGGGGCTTTAGTTTACAAGGGCTGGGTGCTTTTCCAGCAAGTGAAGTTCAGGATGTTGACACAAGAGAATTCTCTTATATCTTGAGCTCAAAGGGACAAAACTTGAGGAAAATAAGGTCATAGCAAACACTCTTATGGTTCAGTGACCTAGACAAGAGTCTCTGGGGAGCAGAGAGAGATGTGTTTTCTGAAAGACGGTTGGTTTCACACTGTCACGCTGATTTTATCAACAAAAGTGATTGCTATATATAGAGTGTAAAAATATTTAAGCTTTCCTAACATCTGTAGCTTTTGATTTATTTCCAAAGTTCATCAGCTAGTTGTTTGAGTTGCAGGAAACAAAAAAAAAGACCCAAACCTGTGGCAAGGATAAAAGTTGAAATTGCAGATATTTAGGAGTTATGGAACAAAGAAGATACGTTTAGGATTTGTATGTTGAGCTGTGAATTCCAGATGCATTTGCACACATCTTCTTTTACATATTACTTACTGAAACCCACTATCATTTAACAAATGTAACAGCCCGATTGTCAGAAATTTTGAGCACCATGACACCTATGAGAAAAGTCAGGTACTCAGCTTTGAAACTGAAAGTTTTAAAAGATGGAGTGAAAGAAGTTAGGAGGGAATGAACAGAAGAATTTTTTGCTCCACTTCAGACAAGTTTACATTCTGAGGGACTTATTTTTGCTGCTTTTCTTGATCTCACACATTACTTGTTAGGGTTCTCTTTTCTTTTCCAGTTCATTACTCCTCCCCCCATCCCTGGCTGAGGTTTTGAAAGTGTGTCTCTCTCTACCAAGTGAATATAGCTGACCAAGACAGAAGACAACAAAATAAATAGGAATGTATTATTCTCCAAGAGCAGCTATTTGGAGTTTTGTTTGGTTCTCATGACTGAGATACCACATATTTCAACAATGCTTTCAATACCTAATAATTTTTTCTGGTGTTTTGTGCAGTTTATCTTAGAAACTTCGTGAAGAAGAGATTATTTTTCCATCCTGTATTAAAAATCAAAAACAAAGAGAAAAGAATCTAGAATTCTAGAGATTTTGCTTTTAGAAGCTTTTTATCTTGACGATGTTTTTCATTCCTTTATACTTGGGTATTATAAACCCTGTGGGATCCAAAACATTCACTCCTTGCATGCTTAAATCTTACATTCTTGTAAACATATACTCTACCAGTCTGCCTGCCTGTTCTCACTACTCTACCCTTACATTTAGGTAGCCTGTACATACAGAAACTTTCTTCTTTTAGAGCATTGGTGACCTAGACTTGTCTCTTGGTATAGCCAATGGTTTATGGTTTATTAATAAATTAATAATGGTTTATTAGACAGCATGTTTCCAACACAGTGTAAATGGATACCTTAAACTAATGAAAACTAGTAAAACACCATGTTTTCATATTTTGGAATAAAAAAGGTGTAACTGCCTACCTGAGGACAAATAAAGCCTGCTCCATACATGATGCTTCTTAATGAGGAAGAGAGGACGTCCTTAGGAATAAGATTATCTGCAAAGATCACCATAAAATTGTTGCAGAAGGCTACGTGGAAGACTTGGAAAAAGTTCATTCTCTGTCATTATCTGTTTGGTCAATGAAATTACTGAGGACCAGGAGAGAGTTCCATCACCATTTTCCAGATTAGCATTCTCCATACAGATTTCTCGCTGCTCATACTGCCTAGTACTGTATTTGCCTGTGTAACACATACAGGGTGTTGCTAATGCTGCGACCAAAACAGCGAAAGCCTGAAAACAGGCAAAATTTTCAATCTTATTTGATATGAGACCACAAAAGAGAATGCTTGTTGAGCCAAGTAATGTTGCTACTTGGATGTATTCAATAAGCTGAAGCCTACTTTCATGTCGTGTTGAAATCTCTGCAAAGAGCGCACACTGCGCTCGAAGCACAAATGTCAGCAAACCATCAAAAGAACATGACGCAATGATGAAGTGAAGACCACTTTGCCAGTCCCCTTCTTCATAATGTTTCCAAGGAAACCAAGGAAGCAAAAAGGCTAATGCGTATAAAGGAGCTCCATATAAGATTGAGATGGTGTCTTGAGCAGCATGTGAATGTGGAGTTATCTTGCATATACCCAAAAAGAGGATCATTAATGGCATTCCATATCATAAATACAACCTGGCACAAACAAGCAAGAAACACTACAGAATTTATTATTAGGGTGATTTTTCTGCAGAGGTTATACAAATACAAAAGCAATACATACCACGTTTATTTAAAATAAATCTCTGCTGAAAAAGTAAAGATGGAAGCTCAGGTCAAAACAGTCTCCAGAACTAATTCTTAAGTGTATTTAGATTTATAGTAATTTTGAAAAACAAGATGAAAAGTAGGCAGGTGCCCAACTACACATGAAATAAACCCCTGTCTCTAAGACTTCACTCTTTCAAAACCTTATTTATTTCAGCTTTCATCTTGCAAAGCCCAAATATTACACTCACATTAAGTAATTCAAAACATGAGCCAGCCCATTACTTTCAGGAGACCATTTACGATAAGGGTTGCTCACACGGATAATGACTTGCAGAGTAAAGGCAGTGTTCAAGCACTTAAACAATCCATAGGAAAGCACTAATGTCACACACATTGATAGAGCTGAGGTACAAGATTAGTTTACAAAATTACTTCAAGCTATCAAAGGAAAAAAATTTTTCATCAGTTAAAGTCTGGAGATTCTTAGTCTAAAGACTGTAAACAATGTGCTTTACATGTACCTTCACTTGCTTATGGATTAACTAAATGTAAAATTAATTTACTGTATAACTATTTGCTCTGCATCCAAAAGTTAATTTGTAAGTAAAAAAAACCCAATCTTCCTGTGTTGTGATAACACAGACACAAAGCACAACATGGTAATCAGAATACTCCATTGTACCACACCTGTGCTTGATGAAACGCTGCTTCTGAAATCTTGTGTTGGTTTAGGAAAAGCTTAACATAGTAGAAGTTAAAGATACCGTTCATCATTCCAGCACCTAATGTAGTCATGGAATACGCCAGTGCATTAGGATGAATTCCCAAAACAAACTTTGTCTGCAAGAACAATTCTTTTCTTCCTAAAGTTACAAAAAAGAATTACAACAGTTGATAGTAAAATTTTCCAAATTAAATTACATGGGAAATTTGCTTTTTCAGACATGTGGAAATGGATTCTTAGGGGGAAATTTCCCCATTCTTATTTCCTTTTTTTTTTTTAATGAGAAACACTTTGCTGAGTTATAAGACACTGAGCCCAAAACTGAATAGATGGAATTACTAAGAAGTCAGTGATATTCCTAAGTATAACCAGTTCCTAAAACTCAATGGGACAAGTAGACAAAAATGTAAAAGAATCCCTTCCTAACTGGTGCACAGACTCAATAGAAAAATCTACTATTGCTGACATGAATCTTGGTGTAGAGTTCAAATAATTGTATACATTTTAGATCTGTCTTACTAGCTACATCGTTTTAAAATTATGGACTGCGTAGGAATGAAGTGGCTCAATTCATCCCCTTACGTACTCCATTGCTATGAATGTCAAATGCAGCATGCACTTAGATGAGTATTTCTTTCAAAACAAATAGCAAGTTTTGTCCTTGTATTTTTAAATGCTAATTGTTAACAAGCTAGAGAAACAACTTTAACCTAATAAATTAATCAGATATGAATGGAAACCATAAACCATAAACTTTTAAGAGTTTAAACATCTTGATTTGCTTTGCATGTAAATAAAATCTAGCATGTAACACATGTATATAGCATTCTAAGCCTGTCCAAATAACAAAGATTCAGCCCAAGAATATAGAGCTCTTTAATATATCAAGCAAATCTTCAGCCAACAATTTTTTGAGATGCTAACCTTTTCCATCTATCTAGCAATTCACTTAAGCATATTTGGAATAAACTATTCTGTGAAAATAACTAGTTCCAGGAATCCTCTACCTTTTAAAGCTCAGTAATGATTACGTAAAGGTAGTCATTGACCACATTTGATTCTATAAGCCCAATGCAAAAATACTTCTCCCAGGTATCTGGTTTTAGCTGAGGTTTTATTCATCTGTGCACCTGTTTGAAGGAAGCTGTCTGTCATTAATTTAGAGATATTTCAGGTTCAAACTCAGGCCTTACTACACACTGTGACTCCAGAGCTTTACAACCTACTTTTTGTGAATAGCCCACACTTTGCTCCTCTGCATGTTAACATGTTTATCCTAAATGAAATTTTCAAATATCCATCAAAATACCTACTTTGAATATCTGCTTGTTCAGCTCAATAAGCAGATCTATAAACAACTCCCCAAACACCTCACAAAAATGGCCATGGAAGAAACAGGAAATGAAAACCAAGGCTGTTTTCAGCATTCCTGTGGCTTACAAAGTGGCTGAAGCCAGGCTGTTGCAAGGGAAGATGGTAAAATCCTAATTGCCAGGTAAGGGCCAGGCAAAAGCCACAAGTCAGGAGGGACTGAACACGTGCCTGTTCTGGCAAGTGACGGAACAGCAGGTTTTCCACCCCTGATGCAGAAAATGAACTCCTGAAGAGCAAATAAAATGTGGATGCATCTTTGCATATATATTTAAGATACTCCAACATGAAACAAGATGCACAGAGGAGACAACTTCACACTATAGGTAAAAAAAAACAAAACCAAAAAACCAAACCAAACAAAAAATCAAGCTGACAACTTGATCCAAAGCATTTCTAAAGCCAATTTATTTGTAAGAATATAACTGAATTTTTAGGCACTTGAGGATGATTGTAATGTGTATTTTCAAGCTGTAGAGAAAATTCCATTTTCAAGTGATGAAATTTTGCCTTTTTTTTTTATTTGTTTGGTTTTGTAAACTTTTACTGAGAAACCTATAGTGAAGATAAAGCTGTTGAAAAGATGCCCATTTGAAATGTTTATATTTTAAAGTAAGTTTGATGTTACTGTGAAAGTCATTACAGTAAGTGTGTTACTGACCAAGTCTCACTTAGGTATTTTAAGGCATGCATGTTCAAGCCTCCACAAATGTACTTCATGAAGTGGTTTTGGAAAGGTAGACTTTTCATCTCTATTTCTCCCTGGAGATCCTTGCTTAGGTCTTCAAAAGGAGAACTGGGAGCTCCCCTTTTCCTCCAGTTCCAGGAGCACCAAGAATAAAGTGCTTCGAATTAAAACACTGCCAGCAAACTAACAGTAATTTCTCAAATCATGTTTGACTCAATTCCTTCCTACACACACAGGAAAAAAAGAAAGAAATCCCCTGAGCTTCAGAATATTTGAAAGTAAAAAGAAATTTGAAATTTCTTCAATAAAAACCTTTTAACAACACACAAACAGGTCTCTGGTGTTATGACTAACTGTAATATACAGGATCTGACACAACTCTTTACGCTAATTGGTACAGCTGGCCCTGTAACTTGTGTATGAAATAAGTTCAATTAGAAGTTGAGGTACCACACTTCCTTCCTCAAAGATGCACTCTTTAATGGTATAACAATGAAATCACACATGACTACCCTCTCTCTCTCGCTCTTTTTAATTGTCAGCCTTTATATTGAGTAGGTTAGAGCACAGGTGTTGACATTTTGTGACTCACAGAAGGCAGTCTAGTGGTTACAACCGTGTTAGTACAGCTGAGCCAAAAGAACAGACTGTTTAAACCAGTGAGACACTGCATACTTGCGTTTCTCCCAGGGCTAGATGACAATCGCTAGAAGAAACTAGAGCATGAGTCTAAAGAAAAGCGGGTTCCCAAGCAATAGCAGATTTTGACTGAAGCACACTAGCTGACATCATGGTCTGCTGGGCTGGGTCCCACACTGCAGCACAATGCCCACACTCCTGACAAACTGGTCGGACACAAGTATCTTCCTCATCTTTCTACCATGACTTGAACCACATTAAGGCAGAACAAAGAATAAAGGCTTTCCTAGTCCCGAGCAGTAACACTGCGGGGAAATGCTGCTGAAGCAGAGGGCGGATGCAAACACAAAGCACTTGGAGCAGGAGGGGAGGAGATGTTCTGATGCCGCCACCCTCCCAGCCCGCGATGCTGTGGCTGCCCAGCTGCGGCTCCTGGCAGGCACGGGGCTCCAGAAACTTGCAGGGCTGGAAGTCTGGAGATGCTCATCTATTAAAACTGGTCAAATCAACCCAGCTTTCCCTCAGCAGCTCTACAGATACGGGACACGGCTCCTCCCCCCTCGGGGGGAAAGAAGCGGGAGCGAGCGGTGAGCGCCCCAGCACCACGCGGGGATGGAAACGGCCGTTTCCAGCCATGACAGCCGCTCCGCAGCTGCACGCCCCAGCGGGACCACACTCGGCTCCGCCCTCCCCTGCCGCGCTCGGGCGCCGAGGCTCCCCGGGGTGGTGGCGGGACTGCGGCCCGCACCTGGGCGTGACGCCGCTAAGGTAACCGAGGCGCGGGCTGAGCCCCTCCTCACACGCTCTTCCTCAGCGCTCCCCGGGGGCTCCCGACACGGGGCGACCAGGAGCCACAACTACCCTACGCCCGGCCGCGCTGCCCAGCCCTGGGCTGTGCCAGCTCTGCTCCAGCGCAGACCCACCGGCACCCCCACGGCAACCAGCTGCCGCCATTAACCCTTCAGGGCCCAGCAACCACCTCACACCTCACCGCCACCACCCAACCTCCACCGACGGGAGGCAGCGCAGCCAGCTGCCGGGGCGGGGCGTAATTAGCCCAGACCAACCTTCCCTTCATTCTCATTGGCAGGTTGATACGAATTCGCTTTGTGATTGGTTTAGGCTCCTTTCGATCTCTCCTGCGGGCGGCTTCCCATTGGCTCCCCGCGGAGGAGGTGAGGGTGTTGTGTTTGAATCGCGGGGTGGACGGTGGGCGGGTGGCTGTAGCTTGCCACGTTGCCGCCGGCGGCTTCGCGCAGCCCGACCAGAAGGGGGAGAGGTTCGGCAAAGTCCGGAAACGCTCGGCAATGGCCGGAGGCGGCTTTTAAGGAGAGGAGCGGCAGCCGGCTTGCCCTACCCCGCCGCCGCTCGGCGCGGGGAAACTCGCTGGCGTGAGCGCGGGGGCCGCGATGCTGACCGATAGCTTGGTGGAGGAATTCGAGATCCGCGAGGATGAGCCCTGGTACGACCAGCAGGACTTGCAGCAAGGTGAGCCGGTACCGGCGAGGGGGAGCGGCCGGCGGGTGGGAGCAGGGCTGCGGCGAGGGGGGCGTGTGAGGAGGGAAGGAGCCATGGGGAGCTGCCGGGGGGGACGGCGAGGAGGAGGGCGTGTGAGGAAGGGAGCGGCGAGGAGGGGGCAGGAACCGTCATAACGGCAGCGCGGAGCACGGGGGGCGGCGGGAAGGGCGCTCGGGGGGCGCGAAGCCGCTGGCGAGGGTCGCGGGGCGGGAGCGGTGCTTGTGCCGGCCCGAGGCTGTGGGCACCGGGAGCCCGGGCTCCGCTCACGGCCGCGTATCCTACCGCTGTGGGCGCGTAGGCAGAGGGGCCGCCGATGCAGATCGCGGCCGTCTTTGTTTGACGGGAGGGGCTGCTGCAGTAGAACCGTGCCCGGGCACCCCTCCGACCGCACGGCGGGGAGGGGAGCGGCTCTCAGGAAAGTTGCACCTTGGGCAGGAGGTAAAGCAGCTGTCCAAGGCAGCGCTCGGAATAGCGGGCGCTGGAAGCATCGGGCTGGGCTGCGAGACTGCTCCCTGTCGAGCCTTTTTGTAAGGGTTTCGAGGCGGTGAAGCTGTAAAGGTGGCTGCGCGCGGTTAGTGGCAGGTCCGTGATTGAAAACTTTGTAGGTTTTCTTAAAATACACGAATAACTTCACTATGCGTCAGAATTACAGGTATGTAGGTCGTGTATGTCATTCTATCGATAGGTTTTAAAACACTACATGCCGTAGGTAAATGCTATTCTCGTTTCACAGATGAGGAATACATCAAGGATAATTGCACTAAAACTCTCCTACAAACATGATACGGAAAGAATGTGCCGTTTCCTTAAGAGCTGAGTGGCATTTCTGACTGGTATTTAGGTAGTTCTACTTTCTGCTACTAATCCCCAGTTCTTCTTAAAAGGCCAGCTCAAAGCTGTGAAGTTGCTTCCTGTGAACCTGCTCCAGCCTTCTGCTCTTGGGTTTTACATTGAAGTACGTTATTTCTTGGGATTGTTAGGTGCTACTACATTATAAACAATGTAGAAAGGCACTTTTGAAAGCTCTTCCTAAACTAAGCAGTTTTCACACTGAGATCAGGCATCTGACAGCAGAAACTTGGTTTTGAGGCTGGAGTAGGTCTCTAATTGTATGTTTTGACGATAAAATAGCTAACGTATAAGAGCTCTATTTAGGAACTCTGTTCGAAGTAGGTGTTTTCATGGATCTACAGTACAAACCAATCAATTTAAATTGGATCCTGAAACCATCATTTGCTGTCAAAAGGGAAGAGAGTTGAAAGTTTGAAGACCTGATTTAGCAATGTTTTTACTATGTCAGTGTTTATGGGGCAGAAGACCTAGAAGGAGATTTCACAAAGTAATAGCAACAGAGTTCTTGGCTTACTGATGTTTCTTTAAATTAATCTTTTAATTAAAATGAGTGAAATAATCACTATTTTGCTCTCTGGTGTGAGCTTTTAAGAAACAGTATTCCATTTATGAGGTTAGTGCATTTTGAGGGTTGGTTAATGTTCTTTCAGCATTTGACCAGTCTTTTTTCTGGGGATTATCTTTTTATAAGCCTAAACAGAAGTGACTTACCAAAAGGGAAAGGAGGAAAATAAACTGATGGGCAAATTGAAATGCAAAGAATAAATACCTTAGAGGAATGGGTTTTTTAAACATTCTGTTATACTTTATTCCTTAAGTCTGAAAGCTTTTCCAAAGGCTAAGCAATACCAATGTATGTAAACAGGGTAGTAAGACTGCTTATCAAGGTCTCTTGAAACTTGTCACAACCCAAACAATTGGTGCACATTAAAAACCCAAGGAGTAGGTTTATGAGAAAACCTAGGTTGTAAAACACTAGGAAGCATCCTGAAACAAGCTTGTAGTCCTTGCTCGAAAAACTTTGATGATCTTTGTAGGCACCAAAAGCTTTTGCCTCGACAATGGAGGTGGGCTTTTCTGGCATGCTGTTCATGAGAACAGAATGCTCATGGAATTCTTTTCAAGGAAGGGAACAGTTATCCTTCTTCTGCAACATCCATGTTTTGCTGCAGTATGCTGATTTTTGAAAAAGAATTGTTTGATATGACTGCTTTTTTTGCATCTTGCTGTTAAGTTGTTTAACAGAACCGAGGGTAGACTAAACATGGAGTAGGAAATAGGAAGCTAAGTAGAAAAACTAAGGGTTTAATTTTACAGTTAGGTAACTGTCAACCACTCTCGTATGTCCTACACTTTGCTGTTGAAAAGAACAGGCTTAATTTTAGACTGAAAAATTCTCTGAATCTTTTTGTCAGGTGGGTTATGAAAAAGTAGAAGAGAAGGATTTTGGTGCTCTTTTATCTTTTCCTCAATTATAGTAACACTGTCAGAAGAGATGGTGGCAAAATGCTGGTGAGGACTGTTTAACATCACAGACCTATCTCTGAAATCTTGGTTTTGTTTTAGAGATTTCTGAAGGTGCTTTTAAACACAAAACAACTGATCAGATTTACTAAAATGAAGATCTGAAGATCTGCACATACGCAGTTTGCATTATTAAAAACCTTTTTGCTTACATCTTGGAGAAAAGGAAAAATGTGTGCCTGTGGTGGAACTTAGCTGCTCCTTTATGTAAATTTACAACAGCAAATGCAGTGTGCTTCTACTATTGTACAGTAACTCTGAGAAATGTAAATTAACCGTTTTCCTTCTGTAGCTGGAGAATGTATATATTGCACATCTCCCTCTTAAAATTTGCTTGTTGTAGGGCTTACAGGTACTTAATGTAGACAAATGAACACAAAGGAAGCGCTTATTTTTAGAAGAGGTGAAATTGTTTCAGTTCTTGCTTTCTCTAGGGGTAGGAGTTAGGGTTTCATTGCATGTTCCTGAACTCTTCCATTTGTATTCTCCGACTCAGAAACAAATTGCCTTAATTACAAAATAGCGTGCTTCTCCCATAGTAACTCATTTGTGTTTCTCCCATTCTAATGAACAGAATGGGTGTGTAAATACAATGTCATGAATTCCAGTATTCATATTGTATTCAAAGTACTGTGTGGTGTGTGCTACTTGATTTAGTAGATGAGGGGGCATTTAAGAATGAAACCATCAACTCCTAAATATACTTAAACATCAAACAAAACTTTCACTTTGGGAAGGGAAATGGCAGCGAGTAATTCCATATGCATTACATCTTTACCATAATCCTAAACCCTCTCTAAAGCTCTTATTCTTCTCTATTAAAATAAAAGAATGGACTATTCAGTCTTTGCCTTGAATGATGCTAGTATTGTTGACCAGCTTTAAAGATTGTGCCTCCTAGTAAAGATTTGTGTAGTGTGAACACTCATAAATTGGTACTTCATTTCATATAGGGTGATAGATTCACTTGATCTGAAGACTGCATTATTCTGTAATGTGATAGAACAAACAGCTTGGTGTTTTACTGGGAGTTATGCTGTCCATGGCTAAACAATGCACAATCTCTGTTTAAAAATGGGAAAAGTTTAAGCAGGATGCCTTGAGGTTTCCTTATCCAAATACTTTGAACTCCAGCTGTGGAATAGGCTGTGTTCCTTAACAAGTGATGTTATAATGAAAAAGCTATGTGAGGATAAACTCCTAAGTATAGATCAGTATGCCATGTGGCTCCTAGTCATACATCTTCTGAAACTGTGAAGAACTCTCAAGCAGTATGATTTGTTTTAAATGTTTGTGGTTTTTTTTGGTTTTTTTTTTTTTTTGTGGCATTTAGTCTAAGAATCTGACCTTAAGGTGGGAAACAATGCACTATAGCTGTAAAGAATGTGTAGAGAATACCAGAGCTGTTGTTTGGCCAGAATTGGACATCTACAACTTAATAGACAAATGCTCCTACTCACTTGTCCTTGTAAGTCTGAATTTGGTCTTTGGCTTACGTGCATAGATGGAGTAATCATTTTGGCCAGGCTGCCAAACTGAAGGTTAGCACAAAACAATCTTGGAACAGTGTTCTATCTACTACAATGTCCAGTTGATAAGATAAATGAAAAAGGCAGGAAAATAACATGTTAAAACAAGGGCACCTAAATCAAGTGAAAATGGAATTTGTTTTCTCATCTAGCTGCAACTACTGATGATGTAGTATGTACCTCTTGTATATTAAGTCTTCTTGAAGTGAATCTAAATTTTTCTTGAAGTTTCTTCTGTTTCTTTCCCAGTAGTGATGCTAGTTCTATGTGAAAATTACCCAGATTGATTTGTACTCATGCAGAAGACAACCTGGTTGTAGTCCAGGTGATCAGAAGGTTGTAGAAAATTAAGAGATTTTTAGAAATCTGTTGGGATTCTTAACATGTAATACCCTGCACAGAGTCATTACAATTTAGCAGTACCACCAAGATTTATTTCTGTTGCATTATGCTGGCTTTTAAATTACATGTGTTTCTACACATGTAGGTAATAATGTAGGATATATAGCACTACTGATGCTGTTGAACAAATATCAAGCTTCCCTCTAGAAAGGAATTGAGTGTTCAGATGACTTATTTCTTAATTTGAAACAACCATAGTCACTGCACCCTGGAAATGACTGACGTGAAATTCAGATTAAATGCCGGAGAACAACTGACATGTAAAATTAATGTTTTGGAGCACATGAAACAATTCTTGTCTCCTAGGTTTATGAGCTTGAAAAGCAGAATAGCTACATTTATTTATCAGTTTATGTCTTTTGATATTAATGTTTCATGATAAGAAGCATCTGAAACTTTGATTTAGCACTTTGATCCTTAAGATCTGAACAACTTGGTGAAGGGGTAAAGGTGGAAAACGGCACAGTAAGCAAGAGTGCAGACAGCTGTGGGCTGGGTCTGGCCTGACAAACATTTACAGGGTCTTTTATGTTTACTCTATAAACATGGTGAAGTGTAGTTAACTAATGGACACCTTGGGTAGCGATGCTGATGCTGTACTAGGCAGATAGGGGGAAGTGAAGATGGCTTCATGTGTCTGACCTGTGGAAGAAGGACTAAGGAAGCTTAACGAAATCAGAGTATCTTCTAGGTTTTAGGACTGACTTAGACTTGTATTATAGATGGTATATGAATGTTCCACTTAAGCTAACTTTCTTTTTGAATACTAGAAATAACATGGAGCAGTTATAACAGCAATAAAAAAAACCACTACATGTATTTTATTAAAATGCTTTAAAATTAAATGGTTATTTGCTCTATAACTTACATGCACACATGATTTCTTTGTTCAGATCTTCACCTTGCTGCTGAGCTTGGTAAGACACTCCTGGACCGTAACACTGAACTAGAAGAGTCTTTACAGCAAATGTACGCCACAAATCAAGAACAACTGCAGGAGATTGAGGTAAATATTTAAGGGATCCAAGTGTTAAAGCATCTAGACCTGCAACAGAATAGCCCATAATTTTGGATCTGACTTTCTTGACATCTGTAGATGCTTTAAAAAAAAACCAATAACCTTTAACCACTTCAGCTACTTTGAGAATTTGAGAACCTGTGCTTTCAAATCACAGCTAGATGATAGTTGATCATAGTTATACCTGTTTTCTGATTACCAGAAGCTTTGTGTCTTTAAACTTCATTCTGAATTTGGCTTGTTTTACTAACAAGTGACTAGCATTTTTCTTTTTGTACAGAAAAGTTACTTCAGTTACTCTGCTGCTCAACTTTGCTGATCTTTCAAAGTAAAATGCCATTAAATCGTATGATGATAAATTTAAATTAGTATATGAAAATATTAGTGGTTACAGCATTTAAATGTAAAAGCTGGTAAGTGCAGGAGAGAGACTTAAGTAAAGTTTGAGGATAGGTACTTCTGCTAAACAGAGCTGTGATAGATGGAGCCAGCTTATTTCAGTTTTAAAAAAGGAACCCCACACCCCTCATCCCTACCTCCCAAAAACAAACCCAACAAAACAACTACAAAACCAAACACTGAAATAGTATTTAAATACAGGACATAATAGAGCTATTCTGTATTTCTGTTTTCCAGAGGGGGAAAATTTCATTACTACCTTTTCAAAATCACTCCTCTTTGTGTTACTTGGTGGAAAAAAACTGGCCATTTTTGGCAATTAGGTTTTTTACATTGGCTGTGGTCATGCAGACCTAGCATTTATCAGCATAATGAGTTTTTTCCCCATCTGTTACAGAGCAATTCATGGTCTCTAATTAAATTATTAAATATTCAGTACCTTGACTGACAGCATATTGGAAATGCAGTGTTTCAGTTTGGTTCTGGTACGGATCCCAGGGAACAGGCTGTGACTGGTATACACTGGATTTTTACAAATCCAAGTCCCTTAGTGCAAGCAGTACATGTGCAGTTACAGACAGGGTGTGGATTTTGTACAGCTGCAACTTCAACTTAAAACACTTATCATTTGGTAATACGTAACCTCAAGAATCCTGAGCTTAGTACTTATATAGGTGTCTTTAGTCATGCTAACCCAAATGCAGTGTATTTATTAGGTGATGCACAATATCTGGGTGCAGGTTGTAGTGGGTTTGGGGTTGGTTTTGTGGTTTTTGGTTTGTTTTTTTTTTTCCCTAAGATACTTCTGGTTTGTACCTCATTCTTTGGCTCTTTATTATGTACCAAACGTCATCTTTGTTATGCTATTCGTTCTGTAATACAATGGTTGGAATGGCTGCTATTTGTATTAGTGCCACAGTATTACAGAAGATGTATTTACTTATGCAGAGACTTAAAATAACTCATTACCATGAATGGTTTTTATAGAAAGATTAATTTTTAAGACTAGAGAGGACAAACATTTCAAGGTGTTACGCAAACACTGTTCTCCTTAAGGTTCAACACCTGGAGAAACAACTGCGTTTAAGGAAGTGTTTAACACAGTTACAACACACCTTTTGAAGTAACTGCATAACTTTATGACAGATAACTAATTTGGCTCAAGAAATATAGAAAATATATTATTGCTAAGCTGCATTCATTTATAGAAATGGCCCAGTGCCATTGAGGATAAAATATCCTGTTGGTTTAAGCAAGTTTGCTTCAGGTGTTTTGGTGGGTTACTGACTACGTAAGAGAGCTTCAGCACCAGGAAGTGGTCAGAAATGTTCTTCCAGCAGTGGTCTATAGTTGGTGTGTTGCAAAGGAAAAAGCAAAATGAACCCCATTCTTGAAATAACCAGAGAGAACCTCAAGATGGAGGAACTGAATATATCAGATTACTTGCACAAGGGATTGCTACAGGAATTCACCATAACAAATGGGGATAAAGTTAGCATATGCAAGGTGCAGTATGCTTTAGCTGGTAAAAGCAGTTCAGTCAGTTATTTTCATACCTAGTGTTCTGTCTTCTGTGTGAACATAGTTTACCCCACTGCTCAGGATACATATACAAGTGGCATAACCAGTCACTATGCTTGATTTTTTTTTTTTTTTTTTTTTTCCTTACTTGCAAGCGCTTGTCTCTGTAACCTGAAGGTGATCTTTCTTCTGTTCTGTAGCTACTCTGCTCATTTTTACGTGCTTTTTCAGTGCAGTGTGTCGGTGTTAATCTTTGGGTTCCACCCCCCCCCCCTTAATTCACATCTTATGGGTAGCAAAGTCTAGAACTGTCTAAGAAATCATTGTGAAATACAGCACTTGTCTGCACTGAAAAGGAAGGGTCAAAGGCTTTGAAATGCTTAAGATTACATCTAATATATTAAACACAACATTTTACAGCCTTGGATCTGACCTCTGTACTGACACATGTACCACTAACTAATCACAGTAGATTTAATAAAAGCTGGATTGAAAGGGCAACTTCATTCCTGTCTCAATCTGTTCTCAGTACTCAGACTTCAGAAATACTCCTTTTATCATGTGGTAGAACAAAGTCTCAACTGCTGCTTCATGTTAGGTGCTTAGTTGCAGGGGAGGTGGAATAAATGTGAACTTCTAAAGTATTGATCACCACATCTATACTTTGTTCTTGTGGCCTTGTTATACCAAGCCAGCTTGACACCAACACTGAAGATACTGGAGACACAAGATGAAGAAAATGGTGCTTCACTTCTAGTAAGCTAAAACTTCTGGAAAAGCCCATTGTAACAAGTAGTAAAATCAATTCTGGCACCAAAGCCACCAAAGGCTTCTGTGCTCAGCCATGCTTGTATTGATGAAGAAAGTCTGAAGATCTCCAGCGCCTTCTGAGAACAACCAGTAGGGAAAGTTAATCTGAAATGGGTCACATTGAGATTCTGCTGCTAATCCATGTACTATTTTTGTGTAAATCCTCAGTCATGTGCACACAGGCTACAAAAGGATCTAGCCAACTGCCATCATGTTGATCTTCTGCAAGTCTGTATGTAGTAGTTACTAGTCCTAGATTAACTTATTATCTGTTCTTAAATTGCTTAAAATGTAAACTCATCAATCTTCTAATGAGGTAACAGGTTAAGTCAAATATTAGAAGTTTTGAGTATGTACAGGTGTATATAAAGGGAAGTAATTCTGCCTACAAGTCTGGATGCTCCTACTTGAAGTTTACTTTTCAGTAGGTAGGATGTAGTAATACAGAATATATTGCAAGAAATAAATTCTATGTAAGAACAAAGTACCTCAGATCTACAGAGTTAGGTTTTTTTTGTTCATGTTTGCATCATGCAAATTCTTGTGTAGATTTTTAGAACTGGGTCAGTCCTATACTGGGTGGGACAATCTAAGACACTTGTATTAAAAGCTTTAAGTGATAGTTAATTGCTCTTAGACTGAGAATTCCAAGCTTTCTGACATTATTCAAGTAACTTAAGTCTGTTTTTCATTGTAAAACTAAAGAGGATTAAAATGAGTACTTCATGTGGAGTTCTATTTTTTTAGAAGGCAGGAGACCTTTGTTTGGGATTACAGTAACTGGAATAGTTCCCTGTGAGTAATTAAAGATTGAATTCAGTAATTTGATTATACTTCCTGATGCATGGTAGCCTATATACTGTCTTAAGTGTGACCACAACCTAAATTCTCTTCTGCTGAACCTAATGCTACTTCAGACTGGAAAAACATAGGTTAGCTGAAAAGAAATTTAATTATGGATCGTGGTACCCAATATTTCAGATGTAATGCTAAGAAAATTGTTGGGTCAACACTGTTAGGAAAATTCTGTTGGAGCTCACTACAACTTCTGGAAGGAGTCTGAGGATAGTTCAGGGCTATGTTGAAGTCTGGTTTCAAGGCTGTATCAGTGAATACTGCAGTATGGACAAACCCAATCCAGAAGGCTCCAGGCCAAAGCCTAGCTGCAGCAAGTCTAAACATAGCTGGCACAACCAAACCCAGCTCTTTGGAATAAAAGGCTGGTTGATCCACTGGGGTTGATCTCCATGAGAAAGGCAAGCTGAGTTACTGGTAGCTCTTTGCAGCTAAAGGTTTATCAAAGCAACCACTAGAATCTACATTTCTGAAGCTTAGAAGTTTCCCTATGAATATGAACAGAATTGCAGAATAGTAGTTCTGTTTCTGTGTTTCAAGTGTAAACTAATAACAGCAATACTGTCTTGCAGTATCTCACAAAGCAAGTGGAGCTCTTGCGTCAGATGAACGATCAGCATGCCAAAGTCTATGAGCAGCTGGATGTGACAGCAAGAGAGCTGGAAGATACTAATCAAAAACTAGTTGCAGACAGTAGAGCTTCCCAACAAAAGATATTAAGGTAAACTTTTACTAGATCCTTCCTAGATAATGTGAAAAAAGCACTCTAAGTGTATTTTTGTGTAGTTATTGGGTGGCCATCTCTGTCTAGCGGTGTTCTACAGTACTGTTAAATTGGAAGGATAGTGTTTTTTAAAGGTCTTTAAGGGCCAAAGAACAGCCTTCAGAGAAGAAAACACACTATAAGGGGATGGGAAATTCACATCTACTTGATTAAACACTCAAATGTCTTTTACCTTTTAGTTTGACAGAGACTATTGAATACCTGCAAACGCACATAGATGACCTGCAACGACAAGTAGAAGAACTGAAAAAGCCTGGGCGAGGCCGGATGAACCATGAGAGATCTGACCAGCCGAGATCAATGCATAGTTTCTCATGTTTGAAGGAGCTGTATGATCTTCGCCAGTAAGACTTTTTACCTTGCATAGCAAAGATAATACTGAAATTATTTTAGGCAAAGCTCTAAAAACTAAGACACAAGCACAGAGGTGAAACAAGCTAGCAGAAAAACCTCTGATGTTCACAACTTATCAGAGCACCTGCACAGTCCTGCACTATGTGGTGGTGCCACTGCTTCTGGCATACTTCTAGACCGCATTAGTATTTGTGTGAGAGGAACTGCCTTAAAGGGTTCTCTCCCTAAGTCTCCAACCATATCAAATTGCAGCCCAGAAAGTTTACAGCAATTTGCACCCTGCTTTTTTTTTAGTCAAAACCAGGCACATAATCTGAAAAACAAACATCTTACATGCAAAATATTTTCTGTAACTTACCTTTTCCTTGGGATGTTTGTGGATATTTTGTTTCCAAGGAAGGCAGGATTCCTGCGGTAGCCTACTTGAATTTAAACTGGTTAAAATGATGCCTAGGCTGGTAAAATAGTGCCTAGAGCTCTGGGCTGTGTTTTTAATTTGGAGCAGTTTTCCCCAGCTGAATGGCATTAGTATGCCCATCAGGACAACCACCTGGAGTAAAAGCTCAGACTAGCTTCAGTCCTGGAAGGTTCACTTACGAAATGAAAGGTAATTTCACAAGTGAAGGACTTCCACAGACACAAAAGCATCCATAGGCTTTTGTGTCTGGGCTTCAGCACAGCATGGAGGTAGGACTGTAGAATAAATCTGTACATCCAAAAGGAAGTTATTTCTTGATAATTTAAATAAGTGGATTCCTTCAAATTGACCAAAGCTTGTGGAAGTACCAGGCTACAGAATTGCCTTGTCAAATTTTGATGCTTGTTTCCACAATCAACAGTGACAAAAGTTACATGAGTGGAGTGCTGTGGAAAAAAAATCTGAGTGTCAGAGTACCACACAACATGGAGGCAATGTTTAAATAAACATAAATTACAGGTCTAATTATTCAATAAGGTTGTCTGTAACCCGAAACTGTTCCTAAGCTGCCATTCTGCTTAAGATGGGAGGCTTGATTTGATGGCATATCGGTATTTACAAACTCTGCTGTGATGATCACATGGACAGATAGGTTAGTAAAATGACTGCTGTGTGTACTTTGAGGTGTGTTAGCACCTAGTTAAAATCTTTTAAAATCAAATTAGTTTAAATCTGTCATTAGTTACCCAGGACTGGAGGTCTTTAGGAGGTGTGGTCAGCTGTACTTCCTACATTTGATGATGCTTATTTTGTTTCTGCAGGTATTTTGTTTATGACCACATGTTTGCAGAAAAGATTACTTCGATGGATAATCAGCTAAGTCCTCTAGAAGAAGAAAATGAGAACTTAAAAAAGGCAGTTACAGTTCTGCAAGCCCAACTGAACCTAGAAAAAGAGAAGAGGGTAACAATGGAAGAGGAATATAGTCTTATGGTAAAAGAAAATTGTGACCTTGAACAGAGGCTTGCTGATATAGACTTGTATCGGGCTCGTGCAGAGGAGTTGGAAGTGGAAGTAGCTGAAATGCGACAAATACTTCAGTCTGAAAACACATTACATAAAACAGAGAAATTGGTGCCAGAATCCTTTTTCATTTCATTCAAGGAGCCTTTAGAAAGGGAGCTTGGTCAGAGCCCAGCAGATGATGGGCTTCTAACTGTATCAGAGTTTGAGAAGGCGGCGCTGAAACGAAGCAGCAGTGAAACCTTCCTGAGCAGTGCTGCAGGGGGAGACATTCTAAGGGACCATGAAGAAACATGTATTAGAAGAGCTGAAGCTGTGAAACAACGAGGAGTCTCTGTACTTAATGAAGTTGATGCTCAGTATAATGCTCTGAAAGTGAAGTATGAGGAACTTTTGAAGAGGTGTCAAATGGCTGAAGATTCTTTGAAAAACAAGGCTGTACAAACACCGAAGCAGTATTCCAAAGACCTAACTGTGGGGAATACCCAGTATGATCTTCCAACTAGCAACCAAGAATTCACAAATGTGGAGTTAAGTGACTCTCCCACAAATGTTCTTCCTGAATATAAAGCACTCTTCAAGGAAATTTTTAGCTGTATCAAAAAAACAAAGGAAGAAATAGATGAACACAGAGCTAAGTACAAGTCCCTCTCCTCTCAGCTGTAACATTGAACATGCTGATGACCTGTTTTCTATTGATGACTGATCTGTTAGTCAAGAAGGGGAAAAACTTCACACTGATGTCAGAAGGCCCCTTATACAATGTATTTCTTGAGCACTCAAAATGAATGTTTTGAATTGGCTTGTAGGCCTGTAGTTAACAATCTAGTTAGTTAACAGCTAGCCTCCCTATACCTATGTAGCAATAGGTTAAATGTTGTTTAGCGCTGTCACACAAACTAGTGGTTGTAAAGCAAGCAAACATCATAGCTTAATACTACACTACTACTTCATACTACACTTAATCTCTGGCCAGAGCAGTTAACTAACTCTAGTTCCCTTAGTCCACTTAAAAAGTAACAGAGCTAAGAAATCTGTACTCTCACAAGGAGACAAACTAAAGCTTTCCTTTGGTTTACACTGATGATCTAGCCCTGTAACTATATCTCTGTGGAAAATAACTAAAACCAAAGCCCATGACCAGTGTTCTGGGCAGCCTCTCCTCAGTTCTTGAGAATGAAAGTAGCAGTTTAGCTGAGCTTGCTTTGGCAGGGAGGTGGAGAGCTGGCACAGCAGCCTCAACTGTGCTTGGTTTAAGCTAGTACCATGTTTTGACATGCAGTAAGCTCTCCCCCAATTAGTATAAATGTCTTCCTGTTAAGAAAGGATTTGATGTAAAGTTTGCGTGGCTTTTTAGGTATGGTTTCTTATGTAGGGCACTTTGTCTGAAGGCAAGATACTGTGAATTGATGATGTATGTTATTTGGGACCTACTGTTCTTTGGTGGAATGTCTGCAAAGTACATTTTTATGTGTATTTGGTAAGATAGAAAGTTGCAATTTAGCTATTTAACTTTAGGAGTAGTATTGATGTAGTGGTATAGCTTTTAGTCTTACAAACCACAAACTCCAAGTGCTTGAAGGAGACAGGCCAGGTGACAACTTATCACATTGTTTTGTCTCTTGCTACCAGTGTCAGCTTCTGTGGATGAATTCCAAGCTGCCTGGGGGGTGGGAGGATGGACACAACTCTACCAGAACACATCCTGCTGAAAACAGGGGACCATGCTCTTGTTCTTCCTCCCCTTCTCCACTCCCTAATAATAATCTATATATACCGAAATTCTGAAAAGCAAAGACCATGAAGTATGTTCTTTAAAACTGTTGCAAAGTTCTAAGAAAACAAAGGTTAAGATATTAAAAGGGGGAAGGCACAATGAAAGGTGACATCCTTTTCTTTATTAAAGGTTGTTGGGATCAACTTTCTGCCCGAGTTGCTGTGATACACCAAACCATTGACAAAGAATGTCGACCATTTCTCAGTGTTGGTTCAACTGCTGCTGTTGCAGTTTGCCTTATGTTGTACCCTGCTGAGCTTGTGGATAACTGTCCTTCAGCTGCAGTATTAAGACTGTTTTGTGGGAGTTTCTGTAAAACATGTATTGCATTTTGAGGATTATTTAAAAATGGGAATCTGACTCTTGTTTTTCTAAGCATAGAAATAATTCTGTCAAGCCACATGTGTAGCTAGTAATTACACCCATGTGTGCCAGTAGGGAACCAGTAAACTAGTTGCAGGTGGCACCTGTGTTACATAGTCTTGCATCTTTCCCACGTGGCTCAAATGGAGTTCCCATTACACTTTTTTTTTTAAAAAGGTTATGCCACATGGGAAAAGATAGGCCTATATCTAGGATAGAAATCTGAGGTCACTGAAGTAGTTTTTCCTCAGTGTTGTAGTGTTCGTCAGTGCTATTCAAAAAGGAGGGGAAAACCCAAAAAAGGCAGAAAAGCTGCTGTTTCTGCCATCAGGTTAACTGTATTGTCACTGTTTCCTTAACACTTGGATCTGTATCTCCTGGAGGTCTGTCCTGATTCGGGTATGGGGAAGCAGTAACCCTATATGAGAAAAGTATGGCATGTTACTCATAAACACTTTACTGCTCCCTCCTCACTGCTTTAGGGGAAGGGGGATCCACACCTGCTGGACTAGAGGACATGTAAAATTCACATTTTGGTGAAATGGGTGATCTCCAGTGGCTAATTTTGAGTACTTTATATCCAGCATTTTTATGCTTTAAAAATACCAAAAACATCCTCGGCTACTTGATTCTTGTGCAGTGTAACTTCCCCTTGGCTACCTGTGCCGGTGCTTGGCTCTGGCTGTACTGTACTTTAACTGTACATATTATGCAATAAAAACCTCCAAGGCTGGGCTCTGCTTTCATAACCTCTCACAGACTTTGGCTTTCCTCAAGGGCAGCTTTAAGATGCAGCCACAGGTATCGCTCTGGCAACAGGGCTGTCCTGGGTGCATGCCACCAACCAAGACAAAGGCTGTAGAAGCTTCCTGAACTTAAAACACCTCCCTGATATATTGATGTAGTTAATAAAGTACACTAGCATATTAATTTAAGGTAGAGTTTTAGCAGTTTAAAAATACTTTCCATAGAAATGTGAAATGCTGTAAGTATGGTAACAATAGTCTTACCCAAGATTACCTGGATTAACTACCTTAATCTGCTTATTTTAGTCAACAACTCAACTTGCATTTTCAGAGCATAAGTAGATGAAATTAATAGAATCTCCTTGAGCTTCTCATGTGATGGAAAGTATTGCAAAAAACATCACCAGTAAAGTAACCGTCTTGTACAGTGCTTGCACAGTAGGATATTCCTTAACCATATCACAGCTAGGCTTCCATGAGAAACCTGCAACAGAGAGTGGTTACCACATCCTGCACAACAGACCCTTAGCTCAACAGCTACCTCTGGCTATGCCGTGCAGCCCATGGTGCAAGCAGAATGATGTAAAGCAGTTCACTGTCTACCTTTAACCTCTACTAAAGTAATTCCTGACCTTTCCTTTCTCTGTAAGCCTTCAGGCCACAAAAGGAGTGGGTGCACCTTCCGTTTTTTCTTGGACAAATACAAGGCTGGGTAGAATTGACCTTTGAGATAAAATTTTATTTAAAAAATTACACAAAATAGAGGTTTTACATTGTTGCCCTGTGACAACTACAGCTGGATGCCTTCCAGAGGATGCACTCAGCTAGTTACCTACTTACCTCACTGTATTTGCACTCAGTAATTCAAAAAGTCCCCCAAACAAAACCTGCACCACTAAAAGCAATCCAGGAGTTCTGCATCTCTTCTAAATGCAGGTGCTTTTCCAAATGACTCACTGCACAGACAACAGGCAAGAACAGTCACTGTAGTACAGAGCTCAAAGATTTTTTCCGTTTCCCCCCCCCCCCGGCATTTCCATGAATATGACTGTCTTCTCTTTTTATACAGAGAAGGCTGCAAGGGCTGTTACAATGCTCAGCCTGAAGCATGAGCATCAAGGTATTTAACAAAAACTGGGATGTTTGTAAACAAATTTAATTTATTGGCATTACTTATAAAGTATTAGATCATGATTTTTGCATCATGTCTGTGTCAGTATATATTTTTATTTCTTTACAGAAACAGAACAAGATTGAAATACATTAGAAGTCCAAGATTAATCAAGCTGCAGACAGGGTCCCATGTTGTTCTCCCAGTTGCTCTTGCGCCTAGGTGGCCATGCAGACATGGGTGTGAGCATGTTGGGATGTCAGTGACTGTCTTGCCTGCAACGCCCAGGTCCCCCAAAGTAGGTCAGGTCCTGCCCCGCACTCCCGAGGTCACGGCATTACTCTGTGCTGCATGCTGCAGGTTTCCTCTTTCGTCCTTGAGATCACTTGAAACCGCTACCACCACTGTCAGGACTGCACCGTCCCCTTAAGATACCACATTCCACCGTAGCTCACACAGCAGTCCTGGGGAGACAGGGAAAGTGTGTATAAGGCGCTGGGAGCCATGGTCTGGCTTTGGGACAACTTATGATAAGTGTCTCCTGTCCAGTGCACAACAGCATGAATCAGAAGCAACAGGTTATCTCCACCCTAAGACCATATAGCTTAAATGAAGATAACAGACATGAGAGGGGAAAGGTTGAAAGGACACAAGGACAAACAATGCAGTGGCAGCAAGAAAGCAGGCTTTCAGGCAGAGAAGATGAGGACTGCGCAGCAGCCAGCTTGGCAGAGAGTGAGGACAAAGGGCACTGAGGGATATGCAGGCTGAAGCTCAGGTGGAGAGGCTAAAGGGAGCAATGGAAAGGGCTGAAATGTAAAAGCAGTCACCAGGTCTTAAGAAACAACTTTCTACAATAATGACCTGCTGCACCTCAGACCCGTGCTTTGGTATTCTAACCACACGTATGCCATGCTTACAGCAGGTAAGCACCACAGCAAAGGAGTTCACCAAGTGGGTTTTCTTGTGGCTCATTTTCTTATTTCTTCTATTAGATGAGCACCAAATCTCTTGAGTTCTAAGCTATTGCCTTCTCTTTCTCTTGCTCCCACCCTTAGGTAATTTAGGTAATTTGACACAGGCTTAAGTACTGGTACCAGACCGATGCTGCAGAGCTTAAAGGGGAAAAGGTATCTTTTTTTTTGTGAAGTCTTGGGACTTGCACATTGCAAAAACAAATATAAAAATTAAGTGTGGAGGGTAGAAAGAGGATTTGCAGACTTGCTCTGCAGATGCAAGAATACAAACCCTGTCAGCCTGTTCCTCTGTGTATAAAAAAGGAGCACATGCAGATGGGGAAATAGAAGTCAACAAATCCAATTACATTCAAAGAGGAATCCACTCTCTTGTGGCTTAAAGAAGCCAGAGAATCTTCCTGTTCCATTAAATCATACTTCTACATTTTATTTCAGAAATAAAGGTAATATCACATAGTTCTGTGACAAATGTATTTGTGGCAAAGCAGCCTGGCACAACACAAGGCTGGCTGCACAACCATTTACTGACTTACAGAGGAAGGTATTTTTCTAGAAATAGGTTATCTGTTAAACAGCAACAGCATCAAGAAAAACTAATGCCAGCATACTGTCTAGATGTTCCAGGAGAGCTGATATTTGATCCCATCTAGTTGCTTGACAGATCTTCCCAGCACAGGCAAGCCACATGAAATACTCTTGAGCAGGCAGAAACATCTGAGCTTATTTTAATGCTAAGACAACCAGGCTCTTTCAAGCAAGACCAGTTTGCTTATTATCACAGCAACAGATCTGTAATTTTTCAAATGTGCTATTATTCTGTTTGCAAATCCCAATGTAATAAAGAACTTAAGTGCTTCTCTCATTGAAGTGGGTGACAGTAAGCAAAGGCCCAGCAACAATGATTAAAGTATTACTTCAGTTGGCAGCTTTCTACTTAGCCATCCTGCATCACTTTTAAAGCTTGTCAATCTTGGCCTGTATGGTCTGTACTTTATACCTCCAACTTCTTTTAGCAAGTAAATGGTGCATCTTCAAAGACAGAGATGAAAGGATTCAAATAAACATTCACAATGTGTTAACTATTACTTAGCCTGCTTGTTTTGGCTAGGGTTTTGCTCTGTACACTGCTGCATGTCCTACTACAGGATGAAATGCATTTCCTTCTCAATATGCGGCACCTGTGCCCTTCAGCATTCATTTACCAGCACTCAGCTGGTAAACTTGGAGCACTGTGCAGCACCTCCTTCCTGTTTAACTCCACTCTATTGGAAAATAACTCTGAAGGATCACATTTACTTCATTCTATTTTCTGCTGGTCCAAGATGACAAATAAAAGATCTGTTGCAATAATACAAAATAACATGTGAGCCAAAACCACTACTCCTTGGAGGGAAAGACAGGAGAATGAGACAAGTGTATTTTTAAGAAAGCAAGCTGAAAACCAGGCTTTTTCCACACTCCAACACCAACTGTTCTATCATCCTTAGCATTTGTCAATCCAAGGTAGAATATGATCCTTTGATCAAACTGAGCATTAAAAATTCATGCATTAATTGGATCAAACCCACAACAGAAACAGAAACATACCTTTAACACTCTATCCACCTCCTGCTTGTTTAGATCTTCCCCACATTCTTGACTCAGCTGATTCTGGATCACATTCCTGCGCACTCGATAATTTTTCGAAAAGATTTCAAGCAAAACTTGGCGATGCTTTAAAGGAAAATGTATCATAACTACAGAGAGAACAAACACCTACCCTAACCCATCTACGTATCACAACTGTACAAAACATTCACTGAACTACATTAGTGGATTCTTGTTTCGTAATCCTGAAACCATCCCACATCCATCTGCTCTCCAGCAGTGCTCTAGCCTCCAAGGGCTCTACAGGGATCTCCATACCCCAACCCACACTGTCCTGTGACCTGGGGCACCTCCAAAGCTACAAGAACACA